TTATCTACAAGCATTTTTTAGAAACTATATTGACGAATCTTATCCTCTCAAACCTATTTTAGAAATTGTATTGACATGTCTAAAAACTGTGTTTCTTGAGACTAATACAATTATTATTATGATTATTACTATTATTATCGTACAATGCGCTTTTGTGCATCGAATACATTTTGTGCAGAAGTTGACCCTCCCCAGAAACAAACACCGTACCTAATTCTAGAGTCTACATGAGCATAGTAGATACTAAATAACTGAGCTTTAATCAATACTGACCTTAAATTAATAAAACGAAAACTTCAGGGAACTGAGTTCAGATGTCAGACACAAACTACAAGAAAAAGCATTATCGAAACAACTACTTTCATGTAAACATTGTTTTACACGAAAGAAAAACACTTTGAATCATCTGCTTCAATATGAACATTGAATTATACAAGAAACACTTTTCTCTACTTGTATTCCAAACATTCGTTATGGAATTGATCCAGATATCACTCACAGGATTCCTCCAAAATAAAGTTATATGAAAGAGGTGAAATTTCACTTACATGGAACATTGCCATATGTGTAACAATCCTGTGAATAACATCTGAATCAATTCCATAACGAAGATTTCAAGTACAAACTGAATAGGAGAAAGTGTTTTTTTCGTATAATTCAATGTTCATATAAAAGTAGTTGTTTCAAAAGTATTTTTTCTTTCATGCAATTCAATGTTTATATGAAGGTAGTTGTTTCGAGAGGGCTTTTTCTTCCAGTTTGTGTCTGAAAGTTACTTCTTTGCATGGACTACACATCTACGTATAAAGTTTCTTCTTTTAAAATTTATTGCTTCCTTCCTTTCTTTGGAAGATTCCCACATTTTTTTGAATAAAAAGTGAAAAGTAGAATGCCGAAACCTTTCCCAAAAATACACACCCCTTTCAATTTAAACAAGATTATTTCTCTTGAAGAAAACAATCATACTAGGTGATTCGAAAAGTACTGTGACTGGCACATAGATGGAGACATAAAAACATATTCTTCAGTTAGTATTGATTTTAAAATAATGTGCCAAAGCTCATTGACTTTTGAATCTTTAACCATCGAGATATTAAATTATTCAATATTTTTGAAGCAAAGGAGAAAATGCTATTCAAAAATCAGATAGCTTGAAAAGTCCTATAAGGAACCCACTCAATCAAGAGCAATTATTTTTCATCTTTTTCCTAATTAAAACAGAGTCGCATAGGCACAAGTGATGATGCATGCTCCAGATGTAGAAACGGGCTGTTACACAGGGACACATGAAAAAAATTCACAATCATTTGTAGGAAAATGTGTGACGTTGATGAAATTACGAAGATTTCGATAGGTTGCTCACAATAGGTGAAAAACATTTGTCCTGATAATTTAGAAAGACATATGGAGGTAATCAAGATAAACAAAAATAATTTTTCAATTGAATGTAGCAATATATGAAACTTGTATCCTCCACTGAAGTCTGGTGTCAAATCAGCAGTCAGCTATTTCATTTGGGAATTTCCTTTTTGTTTATCTCAAATTTTTTCGGTGGTATTTTTATTGACATTGATCCTATCACCAGATGTCTCATACATTTTTTGCTGATGGGTCTTATCTTCTGACCTTTGCGAGCGTTCTACAGACTTTTTGTTACTGATGTTTTTATTCACCACTAAACAAATTTTTTCAGTCAATAGAAGTTTATTTTCTTATAATATGGCATATTTTATGATTAACTTCAGAAGAATGATTTCTTCCGTATCTCTGACAACAGGCAGAAGTGCCAAGTTTTGACTTTACATTTGTGATCAGTAGCCAAAAATGTGATCAAAAATGTTTTAAACACCTTGTGCGAGCCTGAAGAGCGATGTTTTACCGATATATGGCTTCGATGAAAAAGTGATAATTAATGTGAAGTGTATTTCAAATGTAAAAGTTGTTTTATAAGAAAGACATAAAAATATCAGATGTGATTGTATCATTTTGATATTATGCCGAAAATGTTTGACCATATATGAAGTACTGTGGACTTTTCGAACGACTTTACCTGTCCTTTTTGAACCAACTCTCCTGGGGCTACAATTCCATCTTTATCAAGGCAAGCATGCTTCCATATAGGCTGATTGGTGGCTGCATCTAACATTGGGCCCTGGATTCTGTCATAAGTTTGATTAGGATATTTCTTCAAAATAGTCTTGACCGTTCTGTAAACTGAACACCGACCAAAACCCCTATCTATAGAGGCTTTGTTGACGATCAGGGCATCTTCTATGTCGTATCCACTGTAGCTCATAACAGCAACTATTGCATTTTGACCAGCAGGAAGTTTATCGTAGTTTGTCAGTTCGATTGTCTTTGTTTTTACCATGGGTGCTTGAGGATAAACAAGATTGTACATTACTGTGTCCATTCTGTTCTGTTGGTTGTATCCAATAGTACCTGTAGAGAAAATGAAAATATATGTTAAAATTTTCTTCTTGTCTTTTTTTATCAAACTGGATTATAAAACACTAAAATGAATTAAATATTTCCAAGCCAAAATACTGTTTCTAATCTCGTAGAATTTTGGTAGAGAGATAGATTGATAGTCAGATAAAATTTCATTGTTCATTGAATGTGTGATGGAATGTTATAAATCAAGAAGTCAAAATCACATCAATCAAATCAATAAAATAGTTTGACATCAGAGCAGTGGTTCCCAAACTATGGATCGCGACCCACTAGCAGGTCGCTGGAAACGCTTAATACTTTTGAATTGTTTTTCTCATTTTGGATAAAGGCTAGGGGAGAGTATCCAGTTCTTTCAAACATAGCCTTAAAAGAGCTTTGTGTGGAAAGTGATTTGCGTTTAAAGTTTTCAACCCAGATATATAATCTCTTGTAAATCATAAGCACCAGCTCCACAAGTCACATTAATTACATAAGTCTTATTTTTTAAATTTTTGGGCATTTCTATTTTGATTGATTTCTATTTGAATAAACGTTATTATTATTTAAAAAAAAGCCTTAAAACAGCTTTGTGTGGAAAGTGATTTGCGTTTAAAGTTTTTAACCCAGATATATAATCTCTTGTAAATCGTAAGCACCAGCTCCACAAGTCACATTAATTACATAAGTCTCATTTTTTCTATTTTTGGGGTCCAATGACTAATGTTCCATTAGTCCCACTGGATGTATATCCGGATAACCTTCAATAGTTATTGGATTAGCCAGTTCAAATATCATTTCTCTCAGTCTTATGGGGGTGTGAGGGGCCTGATGCTCTTACACTGAGATGATTTAGAACCCAAGTTCTAAAATACACAAAGTGGAGAAGGCCCATTTACCGAATGTAATGTTGTTATGTTAGGTTCATGTTATATGTACGTGTATGAGTAATATTATTCTCTGTGAATACAATTAAATATTAAGAAAACTCACCCATCGCCTGTTTTCCCATAGCGCACTGATAGGTATTTCTCGGTGACTGATTGTGATGCGGGTACGGTATCAACCCAGCACATACTCCCAATAATGTGAATGTGGCTACCTCCAAATGAGTTACTTCAGGAGTGATATCCTTTTCATAACAAGCTATATAACTATCATTCTCTTCGTTTACATCCAAAAACTCAATCAAACCTAAAAATAAATATGGTTCAAATAAAACTAACCTCAAAAAACTTGAAAATGCTTACCTTCTTGCAAAAAATCTTCGAAAGCTCGCATACCTTTCTCCAATTCGGAAATATGGGTTTCAGTTACCAAGGGAATTCCATCTTCTACAATAATGTACGGCCTACATAATCTTCCACCATCAGAATTGATATAGACAGTTCTATGTAAATCGCTCGGATAGATCGAAACATAACTTGAAATGTGTCCCTTTCTTCGGGCCAACCTAAACACCCGAATGAGATATTTGTATTTTCTCGTTATTCCCAATATATTACCTGTAATTAAAAAAGTCACAGTAGGAATTTCGAATATTGCTTGATATTTTCCACTTATATTCTATCACATGATTATTTTGCTATAAGATTCTAGTTAGAGTTTGGCAAAATTGCAATTCAATGTATGTTCAATAAATTGATATGTAAATGCACGAACAATCTAAAAGGACAAAGTGAACTGAAACCTAATATAATAAATTGAAGGTAATTTCATATACAAAAGATAGTCAAATAGGCCTTCATTTCGGCCAAGAAATATAAAACTAGAAATATAATTTGTTTCTGAAGTTATATTTTCAATTTGATGATAATAATTCTAACTGTTTGAAATTTAAACAAATCCTCAATACAATAGGGTTCTAGATCTACAAGTATCCTTTTGATGATGTTTTTTTTTTAATTGATTGCTACTAGTAGAATGTCTAACAAGTACTGGTAATAGGGAGATTTTTCAGTAAGTCTCAATGTATGATATGGATAAATGAGGTCATGCCTCCTAGTGTTGTTATATTCGTGTTCTGTAGCATTTAGACTAAAAAGTTCTCTATTTTTAAACAAATACATCAAACATTCAAAAATATACAGAGCATATACAGTCATGATGTTATTATTCATAAAAACTGTTCAACAAGAGTCCTTATAATGTTTGTTATTGATTAGTCTCATTACTCTTTTTTGTATAACAAATATTCTATTTGTTTTCTTGTTGGATCCCCAAAAAATTATTCCGTATCTCATGACAGATTCAAAATTTAGAAAGTAAAGAGATAAAGCTGTTTGCTTTTCTAGATGTTTTCTGATTATTCTCAGTCCATAGGACACTTTTGTAAGCTTCGAGGAGATTTCCTCTATATGTTGTTGTGACCAGTTCAGCCATTTATCAATGTAAATACCCAAAAACTTTTGGTTTTTCCTCTGCTGTTAGATAGTTTGCAAATAGCATCACTTTAGTTTTCGACTCGTTCAATACTAACTTATTTGTTTTCAACCAGTTTTTTAGAACAACTAAATAAGTTTTCGGTGAATGGATGGAAAAACTAGCTACCATATTTATTAGCTGAACTCCTGAATTTCTTGCAAGTCGAATCAAAGGTTCTTCTTCAACCTCCGTTGTGATGTGTGCCATGAGAGCAAGATTTTTCACTAATCCGCATGCCTAAAATCACATTATTTTAATTATATACTGATTCAGTTGTGATTCTATGTAGGATATTTTTATGTGGCAAAAAGAAATACGATAATGAAAAAATGGATAGCATTATTCTCTTTGAACTAGAAGAAATATAACCAAATACTTGAATGAATAATATAAATCAACAAACTTGAAACCGCCACTTACCTCTCCTTCTGGTGTATCACTGGGACATAACATACCCCACTGACTAGGTTGAAGAGACCTTGGTCCAGAAACTTTTCTTGTTTTTTCAAACTGAGACTGGACCCTCGTCATCATACCTAGGGCGGAAATATAACTAAGCCTTGATAAAACTTGTGTCACACCAAGCCTTTCCATTCTAAACCTCTTTATTGTCCAATTGCCCTAAAATGTAATAAAATTAGTAACAAAATCAAAAATCTAGGAATAGTATCCTGACACAACATCAATAGTTCATCTTACAATTTTTTGTTTCTATTTCAAACTTCTCAAAAATGTATTGGCATGCACGTCACAGAAATCTTTGTCATCAATGTAACAGAATTCTGAGTCATGCATAACACATAACTTGTTTAGTCAAGATTGTGACGTCTGAAGATGCCATAGTACAGCAAAACACGTGTCATGGTTTTGTAAACTATCAAGTGGAAATCTCACACTGAAGTGTGACAATTTATTTCACAGCTTTCGCAACTTGTGAGAGAATCATACAATCCCTTATTTGTACATATTGTCATTACATGGAAATCATTTCTAACCCTTGAGTTACAATCGTTGATGTTGAATACAAGTTTATTATTACTCCGAATACTGTTATTTTTTACTTTAAATATTGTTTCCTATTGTTCTAATTGGAATAGGTTTTTGATCAAGATGTAGTTCAGTTTGTGAAAAAAGTGTGAGTTGGAAATAACATTTGAAAGAATATTTTTACTGAGTCATATTGCAGAACTTGTTTTTTTTATGGTAGATAATATAAGTTGAATAAAGGACTCCTAACTATATATTTGATCCAAATTCCAATTTACGTCTAACCAATGTATTGGTAATATTTCTTATGTGAGCCTTGAATGATAATGTATTATTATATGTAATTCCTAGCTCTTTTATTTCTATATTTGTTTCAAGAGGGATCCTATTCAGTTCATAACTGAAGAGAATAGGGTCTTTCTTGCACGTAAACGACATTACTGAACATTTTTTAATATTGAAAAATAATGTATTCCCTCAACTCCACTCATATACCCTGTCCACATATTTGATCCAAATTCCAATTTACGTCTAACCAATGTATTGGTAATATTTCTTATGTGAGTCTTGAATGATAATGTATTATTATATGTAACTCCTAGCTCTTTTATTTCTATATTTGTTTCAAGAGGTATCCTATTCAGTTCATAACTGAAGAGAATAGGGTCTTTCTTGCACGTAAACGACATTACTGAACATTTATTAATATTGAAAAATAATGTATTCCCTCAACTCCACTCATATACCCTGTCCACATCTTTTTGTAGCGTTACGCTGTCCCTCAGTGTTTGTATTTTTTATAAATTTTTGGGTCATCAGCAAATATTAGACACTCTGAGAATTCCAGCACGGCTGGCAAATCATTTATAAAAAGAACAAAATATAAGGGACCCAAATTTGATCCCTGTGGGACTCCAGAGGTAACTTCAAACTTGCTTGAATATGAACCATGATATTTTACAAGTGAGCCACCGTTTTCCAAATATCTTGTTGTTCACTTCGACATATTGGTACCTATTTATGAGATAAGACTGGACGAGCTTAAGAGCTAGCCCCGGACACCATTTTGATTTTTATGATTTAAACATTTTGAATGTTACAGTATACTACCCATAAATTTAAAAAAGACAAAATTACACTTTATTAGTTGATTGAATGTTTATCTTATTAGACATATGGAAGTTTATAAATGAAATTGACAGACAATGGGGAATGTTCCTTCTGAAGAAAATCAAATTGTTTTCATAAAAGAGCTCTAAAACAACGCATTTTAAACTTATCATTTAAACCTTTTTCTTTACCTGCAAGGAGATTATTTTTGATCCCATCAAAGAAATAATAAATTGAATACCTACCATCAGTCCAAAATAGATAGCTTTCTGTGTAAAATTGAAAGATTGAACGGGAATGTGGGCCAGAACCGTTGTTGCAAGCAGATCCCTGACCTCATCTGAAGGAGTTTTAACTCTAGATGCACCTGTAACGAACCGTTTCGCAACAAGCTTAGTTCCCAAATATTCTAAAGCTGCTGCCTGAGTATAAATTTTCAAATTATGACATTCCTCAAGTGTAGGAACCAACTTCGTGGCATCAGATACTCCTACCAGTTCACATATTTCTTTATCACTGATTACATTCAAAGCCTTGAATACAATGGAAATTGGAATAGGCTAAAACAAAAAATAGACCTATTATCTAGGAATTCATTACCACTTCATAAAATTTGTTTCATCACATAATAAATGCCAACTTGATTGGCAAAACAATCATCAAGAAGAGTGTTATTGTTCTGGTGTTCGAGAGAAGAATTATTGAATTCATTTTATGCTAGAACTTTCAATTTTCTATCTTTGATCTCAAAAATTATAAATTTGGATTCCAAAAATTGCACCAGATAATAATGTTTGTATGTATGAAGTCTGTTCAAAAAACAAGGTGAAATTTAATTTTTCTCAAAAAATATTTATTCATCAATTTCTATTTTGTCCCCTTCAAAATACTCCTCAGATATAACACTTGTGCCAGTGTTCCTTACAATCGTCGAACAGTTCTGATATGCACTTTTTGGTATGTTTTCTTTGTATTGCTTCTCGCAAGCGGCGCATAACTTCAATATAATACTCATCAATATAATCTGGGAGGACGCTTAAGGTGCAGATTGAGGACGAGTTCTCTGATGACTTTGACATTACAATTGGCACTCCCCAAGGTGGTGTCTTAGGCCCCTTGCTATTTTTGCTTTATGTGAATGATTTACTCACTCACATTAAGCATGGACAAACCTTTATCTATGCGGATGATACCACAGTTATTGTTGTGGCTGACACCGCTACTGAATTCCAAAAGAAAATTAAATTGGTTACAGAGGAACTTTCGCACTGGTCTGAGGTGAATCATCTAATTAACAATACAGAAAAAATGGTGTTCATAGAGTTTACAAGTCCCTTCAGGCGAACACACAATCTTACAATAAATATTGATGATATTGAAATAAACACATCAGAGTTAGCACGATACTTAGGTATGGAACTAGACTACAAGTTCTCATTTAACAACCAAAAAGATTCTATTTGCAAAAAACTAAATAAACTATATTATGCTTTCTATACACTCAAGTCAAATTTTCATAGACCTTACTTGATCAATTTATATTATGCACTGGTATCTAGCACGATCAGCTGCATCATCATAGTATGGGGAAGGTCCACAGAAACATCCAGAGTCTTTGGAATACAAAAAAGTTCATCAGAATGATATATGATTTAGACTACAGAGAATCGTGTAGGAACACCTTCACAAATAACAATGTTTTAACATTCACATCTATTTATTTGTATAAATTACTGACGTATACCTTTTTGAATAAAGGAAAACTAAACAAAAACAGTGAATACCACAGATACAATACGAGAAAGAAAAATGACTTTCACTTACAACCCATACTCAGATCACATCACAAAAAATCACCTCTGTATGCAGGGGCATATTTATTCAACTTATTGCCTGAAAGCATGAAATCGGAAACAAAAATTAAAACTTTTAAACTTGCACCAGATAATAATGTTTGTATGTATGAAGTATGTTCAAAAAACAAGGTGAAATTTCATTTTTCTCAAAAAATATTTATTCATCAATTTCTATTTTGTCCCCTTCAAAATAGTCCTTCTCAGATATAATATATTTGTGCCAGTGTTCCTTACAATCGTCGAACAGTTCTGATATGCACTAGCGGCGCATAACTTCAAGATAATACTCATGTAGCACAACCATGTAGCAAGAACATCTGATACACAACACATTCACCTTATTTTTTAAACAGTCCATTTGTGACTCAAGGTGTTGTATCAGTTCATGGGCATCATTAAAATTATAAAGTTACTGAATGATTTGTAATAAAACAACATAATTATTGACATTGTTTCAGATTCGTTCAGAAAAATTAATAGAGAATCGGATCAAGAAATATTATCTTGCTAGTGGTTGAAACAAGAGAACGATTCGAAACCTGTGATGACAGACTCATAGAAATAGAGAAATCATACATCCCTTTACTGACGAAAAGCTAAATACTCTTAGTAAAATTACCCCTTACAACACTTTCATATGAATAACCAAAAAAATGTTCTTATCAATGTATCTAGAAGATTACTTACATCTGTAAATGTATTGTGTTTCATGTAATATTTATTTCCTTTGACGAAAATGATAGTTCTCGACTTTTTTTCGTGAGTAGAACTGACAACTTGGCACTGTACTCCGTATTTGCCCTCCTCGACAATCATTTTGTTTTTAGCAAGTTGTTCTTGAATCAGAATAACCCTTTCTTGTCCTTTGACCACGAAATACCCTCCCGGATCTAAAGGACACTCATTCATTTTTGCAAGTTCAAATTCCGATTTATTTCTCAATACACAATTCGAAGATCGGAGCATTATAGGCATCCTGGAAGAGAAACATTCAATTTCATTTCAAACAAAACTAATGAGGAATGAAAAATATTCATATTTTAGTGGGTGAATCATCATCACCATGATTTGTTAATCAATCAACTGATACATAATTCATTTTCGAAAGAACAAAATTCAAACTGAGAAAGTGATTTTAATCATTTTTTCTTTGGACTTGTGGCAATTGGGCTGGTCAAATTCATAATAAAACTGTCAATTCACACTAATAATGGTAGTAGTAGCAATTTCAGTAAGATACAGCGAATAAAACAGTTTTTATATATATATTTTCGATAACTACAAATATTATACTTACCTCCCTATCAAAAGTCCAGTTTTTGTAATTCTTTGTTTGTCCTTTGTATATTCAACATCAACCGATATTGGAGCTGAATAAGTCATATCTCTCAAACGACATTCGTGCGGTGTAGTTGGTTTACTAATGTTAAAAACTTCGTCAACAACATCAGGTGTTCCAACATGAACCTTTAAGTATCTGAAATTCGATATGGAATCAGCTAATCAGAAGTTGCAACAATCAATATCAATCTAATTAATACAATTGAATTCACTCAGCCATATGTATGCAAATTTTGAAGCTATTGAATGCAATTTTGCATAGCTTTGAAATTATATAAGAGTATCTTTTGTCGGGTTGGCAGGCCATTGAAGTATGGAATTTCTTCCTGTTGTTTCATTAGAAAAGATGGCTTCCATGTCCGATGTTAAAAGTTGTCGTTAGAAATGGAAACTTCTCTGAAGGAGATGGTTACGTAGGCTAGCGAAACATTGGAAATAAATTGCATATTTCTATGGCCCTAAAAACTTCCAAAAGTTACCAAAATAGTAGACTATTATAACAAAAGTCTAATAACTTATATTCTATGAGAGTGCTTTGGTTCGATTAAACATATTTACCACTAGTCAACCTACTTGAGGTAGAAGAGAGGATCTGCATCACAGGTAACCTTGTCATTAGCCTCCACAATTTTATTGATATCCACATTTATGAAATAATTGAAAGATTCAATGTGTTGTTTCACTAAACCTTTTATTTTGAGAAAAGCAGGCACCAATTTCCATTTTTCCTGGAATAAAAAATATTTAATTTCGATTAGTTTCACCAATATGATATAAGAAAGATAGATACATTTAAAGTGAATCTATCGTGAGCAGAAGAGACAAACAAATAAACTTACCGTAGATATTGCAAAAAATAAACAATTTGTTATCATATCAGCTCTCATATACTTAGTGATGTCGAACTGAGCTGTTCTATTTTTGGGTATAGTTTGCTCAGCGATTGACTTCAGTTCCCAATTGAATCTTTTGAATGCGTCCTCAAACATCAAAGACATGAGCGATCCAGCTAACTCTAACCTCTTATTCCCATAATAGTCTCTGTCATCAAGCAACTTTTTATCACTTTGTGCTTCAACAACCCTTTTTACCTGCAAGGAGATTATTTTTGATCCCATCAAAGAAATAATAAATCGAATACCTACCATCAGTCCAAAATAGATAGCTTTCTGTGTAAAATTGAAAGATTGAACGGGAATGTGGGCCAAAACCGTTGTTGCAAGCAGATCCTAAAAAACCTTATCAATTCTTCGAAAATTAAATCAGATTATTTTGAAAGTAACAACCATGTTGTCTGTGTACACTGGATTGTTTGGATTCTTTGAATGATGTAAACTGTCGAAGGTAGGATAAAAAGCCAACAAAAATAAACAAAGCTGTCGTTAACCACATTTGTGCTCATTTTTCATTGCATAAAATTTGTATAAAAAGAACACAAGGCACGTGTTAACATTGTCTATGAAAACATTTTTTTTATAGTTGGATGTTTCTTTCTAGCATATTTACTTCAATTTCCTTAATAGGTTTCCGGTATATCTTTGGATCTCCAAACAGATCCGCTGCATGTTTATCAGGCATTTTTGAAACAACAAAAATAACATTAACCAAGAAATTGCTACTTTTCAACTTCTTGCAATAAAATTAAATTTTAAATAGAATGAGAACCTAACTTCTTCTTCTTGGCTTTTGGGTTTCATTAACTTGAAGTTGTTTGTAAAAAGCCTCTGCCATTCGGATAATTAGCCAGTCATCTATAAATAAATAACAATGTGGATAGTTTAAATATCCTTGATAAGTGGATTGAAATTACTTAAACATCGAGTGAGCAGTCAATTAATCGAAAACAATGTACGTTATCTCAATATTGGTGCAATAGGAGTTTTCCTCGAGCTCTCTCTGATAGCGTTTCCCATTCGTAAACACCAATATGTATTCTGATGTCGCTCTGACATAAATAATGAGAAGGAACAGTCAAGCGATGCCTTTGATTTGAAAAAGCCAATTTCCATAAACTCCACTACTTTGTGTGGACGAAATACAGCGTAAAGTTCCAATATTCTGTGGCGTTACCAATATCATAGGAGCAGATCGAATCCACAGAAGTAGTTTGAGTGAAAATATCATATCTCTGACTAGGTACTCAGAGGACACAAAGAATAGTATAACCCTGTTCTGTGATCAGGATTTCCAAAATGGTTTTTCTGCTTGTTTGTCTGCTTAAACCTTGAACCATAATAAAAAATGCTTTATCACCTATTCCTCTATAATATTTCTAAGATACAATGTACAGAGTACATTATATCTACACTCCTCCTAGTCCACAAGGTGAAGCGCCGATGGGAGGCGCCCACACTTGAGTTTACGGGTTGCTCTCTGCCCAATAGAGCTTCTTATTTTAGCATTCAGTTTAAGACTTCCCGCTTCCTGTTGAAGCTTACGCTAGATTTATCGAGATATTGTGATTCCGATACCTCATATCAGGTTTGTCACTAATTCTTGAGCTTATACGGAATTCATTCGTATAAGAACTCGCGTCGTATGAAATATCCGATTGTATCAGGATTTGTATATTTGGGGAAATTACGAAATAGGACCAACCTTCGACAAGGGGGTACCTAAGGTAAGGGAAAAAAATCCGTATTCTTCCAATGACGTCACATATGGTGGAAGGTCATCCTCGTTTCCTTCAGGTTTGGAGTCCAGCTACCCTACCCTTTCGGCTGATGACGTCACATATTAGTGTAATGAGCTCTAAAATACAACAGAAAATTTCTGGTGTATCGCTTCAACCAATAGAAACTCACTATCCTTTCGAATAAATCAATGGATAAATCCATTGCGGTGGACTCATCAATGAATCTAAGAACTCTCTTTTTACTCAACTAATTTCTCCATTGTTGATTGTTTTTTACGAAAGTCTAGAAGGGCCTCAATAATCTAGTATATATTTACATAATAATTTAGTATATATTTACATCTGTAAATTTACAATTATAGCTGTGAATTTACAGTTATAAGTTATAGTTATAAATTCATAGTTCACATTGTGAATTCTGGTCAGCTGTCTAAAGACACCAGGAAATTTTCGAATAATTGCAGTTCCACTTTCTTCAAATTTGATAGAAGGAAGCTTCTCCTACAGCATGAATTGAATAAATTATTATAATCGAGTGTTTATTTAGAAATACAACTAGTATTACCAATATAAATAATAATATATTTCAATAATTTTGGAGCAATATATAACAGCAGAATGTGAATGAAGCATTTTCATTTTTTTTAACAGTCATAAGTATGTACAGAATAAATTTCAAAACATACAAACAAAATAATTACTTAACATTAGTTACAAAAATAAATATATTTTAATTTCAAAACACAATAAAAAATATATACTATGGACTTTAAACTTAATGTACTCCGAAGAATCGACATTTGGTTTTGAATTCACACTTCAACTCTCATTAATCCGTTTTGACTATTTGTCCCTAAACTAGAACCGTCCAGAGAGTCTAGATCTAGAGCACTTTCTATCATAGTTGTGTCTTGTAAAAGACGAAGTCTACTCGCACTGAACAAACTATTTTCTTTTTCTTGTATGGTCAAATCGTTATCCAGTTTCATGTCATGAAACCGAGTCTTTTCATTGATGGCTAGTAAGTGGTTCTCTCTCAAAATTACAGTGTCTAGGTGGAGGTCTTCTACATTCACAGCTGTCTCTTTTAGCCCAGTATTTTTATTGCGGGGGGAATTTATATTGTCCTCAAAACTTTGTGATTTACTCAACGGTATCTGATTCGAAGAAGTGATGTTGTTGTATACAGGTGAATTGGTGAGGCTGGGTTGTGACTTATACTGTTGCGAGTCATCTTGAGACCCTTGCAGTTGTAGTGCTGGAGCAATAGCTAATGGCTGTTCGCTGCTCACTAAATGAGTTACGCTGCCAGCATTGCTTTCTGAAATAAAAAATCAAATTGTAATCTGTAGCTATCTAGTAATTACTAAATGGGCTTAAAAGTTCGTAGGCTAACATACAGGTGGCGCTACTAGTATTAAATCCATAATTTTTAGTTAACCCTAGCCTTCAAAAGACACAGGAACAAATTTCACAGCTATTCACGGCCCCATTTGGAGGAAAAAAAAGTGCCGTTTCATCAAGTCAATGCACCGTGTCTCAAATCATTGAAAACGCTGGCAAACTTGCATGAATTGGGCTTCGAATTGCTTCCGCATCCACCGTATTCTCCAGATCAGGCCCCCATCGACTTTTTCCTGTCGTGAGACCTTAAGAGAATGCTCGTTGGAAAAAAATTTAGCGTCGATGAAGAGTTAATCGTCGAAACTGAGGCCTTTTGAGGCTAAAAACAAATCGTATTATAAAAATGGTATCAAGAAACTGTATGATCGCTATAATCGTTGTATCGTCCTTGAAGGCAATCATAAATTAATAATAAAATCCGATTATATTAAAAAAACCTTTGTTTTCTATGTTAGCCTAGGAACTTTTTAGCCCAACTGTTATATTTATGTACACCATCGGAAGATCCTTACAAAATCCTCCCTTACATTTTCCACTACACATTTACAGATCATAATGTAATTTCCAAAAACAAATATGACAGGTATATAGATAGATTCAGTTTTAGTAGGTGAAAAATGAGGCTGTTCACAATCATTCGTTAATATCATTAGGTTATGAAACAAGAAAGCAATAGATCTAACTCGATGAATATATGTTGGTTATTTTATGTGTATGAATTGTTTGCTAGCAAATAAGACAGAAAAAATCCAGCTGAATTCAGTACAGTGATCAAATATTTATCTTATTCCAAGTTAGAACAACAAGATTTCATACTTGGAAAACAAAAACTTCAATGATGAAAATTCAGTCAAAAAACAATATGCATATACAAGCAAGGCAATACAAAAATACAAATCATACATTGAAAATTATTATCAATAGAATCTGTACATAAATATTTTTCCTTTTTCTAGTAATATCAAAGCTTTCCATTCATAAAATGAGAAAAGATTAAAAACTAAACCATTAATAAGACAAAGCAACAGCAAAAATAATGAAATAAAACCTATTTAGGACATGCATAAATTGCAAACTTACCAGCCACAACCGTATCAGAAAGCCTCCACCAACATACGGAATGCAAGAACAAGAAAATAATGATGCAAAATTCGTAAAACTAATTTGTATTTGGTTTTATACAACGGAAGAAGTACTTACTCAATTCAAACAAATAAAATAGAAACTCATTCAAGACAAACTCATATTAACAGCTGAACAAATTAAAAAAAAAGCAGATGCCTTCTTTTTGGAAACTTGCGATCTTTATGAGTTAGCTATTTTCTTTCTTTCCTGTTTTGCACAAAGTTAGATTTCAGAAGGTTGACAACTCCTTCACAAATTGTTGATCGCATTCAAAATATACACTAGCACCGAAAATGTTGTTCTTATTGAATTTTTATGAGTAATCTGAAACTAGTTCAAGGCATAGAGTGAGTGACCACTATTTCTCCGTTGGAATATTTTTTACAAAGCAGACAGAGCACGTCAAATTGTCGAGTTTACAAAAGAACTGCTTACAAGAACCCCAAAATATAATACCATATGAAATCAATGGCTGCACATGGGCATAGTAATAAACAGACTTGATTTCTCAAGTATCGTATTACATCACAAATAGACCTTAATCTGTTATTTAATGAGTTCATATGGGTTTGCCAAGTGAAAACCTAAGAATTTAGTGTGATCAAATATTAGAATAGACTTATTTTGGTGATATTTAGTTTAGACATATTTGTCTCTGATCATCTGACCATACTATTTGACATGGTTGAAGTTTTGGTTGAGAGTTCTGATGTATTAGTTCCTGTTACAATGACTGATGTGTCATCTGCGAACTGGTATGCATTTTCTAGATTCAAGACTTTGGGTAAGGTGTTTACATATAGAAGGAAGAGTATTGGTCCCAGGATCGAGCCCTGAGGTACACCCCGCCTAATTATGATTCTACTAGATATATAATGATTTTGTAAACTCATGCTAACAACTTGGGATCGATTTGATAGGTATAACCTAATGAGTTCACAACCCACACGAGTTAACATTCAAAAATTAAGTAACCTAAAAGTTCCTAACTCATTTTTTTTAGGAAATCTGGAAGATAGTTTCATAGTTGCTGAACTTCTCTCCTTCCTAAAGACTCGTCACCTCTCTGGTGTAAAGCTTCATTTCAACAGTGAATTATCAACTAATAGTTTCAATTTAGGCACTTGATATTTATTACTTTCAAATCCCACTCGAGTACACTTAGAAATTCATTTAAAATTATTCTGTATATACATCCGGCTAAACTCCGGCGTTGGAAAATTGCTGACCATAAAGTTGGAAGTCAATTGTCGATCGCTTTTTTTATCTATACAATAATCATCTAGTGCATGCACATTTTCATAAACGCAGTTGCTTTTGGGTCTCAAGACCTGCGTTAAAGGTGGTCGTTTAACTAGGCCGAAGTTCAAATTGTAACGTTTTTCTGGAGGAGTATAAGGCCTCGTTGGAAAATCTAAAGGAGGGAGAGGTGGTGGATTACGGCTGTGCCGAGTTTGACACTTTGTAGCCTCGTCTTCATCAGTTATATGCTTCAGTTGGGGAAGCGAGTGACTGCTTTTGAAGTACTCCAGAGGAGGATCATTCGCCGATTGCTTTTTATTATTATTGTGCCTAAGTAATGATGCTCGAGGAGATATTACTTTCTGGGCTGAACAACTTTTGGACGGAATAATTTGATTGGCATGTTGAAAGTGCTTTTTGAAGGGACTGTACATACCGGTAGTTTCTGTGGTTTGGCGATAAATTCCGGGGATTTCGGTTGTGTTTGCGGTTATTTGTTGGGGTCCATTCTGAAAAAAAAATTAATGTTTTTTCTCGTTTTTTGAAAAGGAAGTGATGCTAAGTATTTTTTAATTTTCAAAACACACTCGTCACTTACTTGAGAATGAATTCCATAACTTTTCAAAGGTAAAGTTGGTTCATTCGTAATAGGTCGATCAAGTTCTGAGCGATAGTTTTCTGTTACTAGTCCTCGCCTGTAAAGTAAATGTTTGATGAACCATTTGTGTATGTTTTCTTTGTATATCTTCATGTTCGATTTTCAGTATTATTTTTATTATTCATTCACATTACCTATCGATGAGAGATGGTGTTATGGGACCACACAGTATATGAAAACAATTCAAACACACATTTCCCTGCGAATATGGATTGAAATTTTCTTGACCTCTTTTACTGGTAAAGGAGCCTTTTATCTGAAAATAGAAAATCATTATTCTAATGAACAATAACAAATAAGTATGACGAGTGATGCCGATATTTATTTGTTGGTATAAAAGGAAAATTTATGTATCTTCAGAGACAAACAATATAAACTTTGGTACTGTCAATGGATTTCTGCACATGCATCTAAAATGAGATGATAAATTTTAAGAGAGATAATTTTTTTGGCTTTCACTTTTTCATCTTCATACAAAAAATTGTGTGTGAACTTCCAAAAGAAGTAAGAAAGCAATAAAGTTTCAAATAAACTCTTCACAAAGAGTTGTGAATCATGCGTAGAAGTTACTTTCAGATACAAACTGGAACAAAAAGTCCTCTTGAAACAACTACCTTCACATGAAACTTGAATAACATGATATTTTCGAAATAACTACTTCCATGTGAACATTGAATTATACGAAAATTATTTGTTACAGAATTAAATTTTTTGTATACAGATGGAGAAGTAAAAGCTAAAGATTTTTTTCCAAAAGATGATGAAGTAATTGAAACGAAACGATATGGCTACTGCTTCAAACAAACTACCCCTTTTGTGAGAATTACTTATATGACTTTGGGTCGTTTCATAAAATTCATTGGTAGATACTTAATTAATTATTCTGTAAATACATTATATTTTATAATACATATTTATTGTATGTAAATGATCTCACTAACTTGAATATTAGCAGTATATTTACTCTATTTGCAGGTGATGCAACTATTGAATGGCACACTAAAGATAAAAATACTCTTAGCCAAATGACCTCTATAGATCTAGCTGGAATGAAAAAGTGGTGTAATGCTAATGACATTAGATATGGGATAGCAATGATCTTCAATCTACAAAAGAGAGCGTGTAGATACATATGCCATGTTAACCATCAAACTTCATGTAAGATACTCACGCTAACATCAATCTTCATGTTAGAATGAACTAGTTAAGTTCATAAGCATAAACTACATTTATTAAAATGTGACACTGCACATTACTAGCGCAAACAGCCAATATATACCTTTATTAATCCCCAGAACCACCCTATACCAAAATTCAATTATTCACAATGGTACAAAAATGTTCAACTATCTACCGAAGCAAATTGAAAATATTCATAGCACTCCGAAATTCAGAAGGGCTGTAAATACATTTTTAATCACAAGATTCTTTTATGATTTGAGCGAGATTTTCAAAAAAAAATTTGAATAGCTGTGATAGCAGTACAAAATATGTCGTATCCATGTCCCACACTAACTAGTGTGAAGTATAGGTGTGTATACATGAGTAATAATAATAATAATATGCTTTTTTGCCCAAAGAACATTAGGTCTTATTGACAAAGCTGCAAATTTTCCTCAGTCATCATAAACATAAATATACATAATGTATTTGTATGTATATTTGTATATATATATATATATACATATATACATACATACATACATACATACATACAAATACATACACACATATATACAGATATATATGTATGTACTTTTTAACTGCCTGTTTCAAAAATCGAAACATTTTATTAAACTATTTTATGGTGGATATATGTATATATATTATGTTAATATTTTGATCATCTGACAACTCTGTTATATTTTGTGTTCATAACCAATTGATATAGAATAAATTAGGGAAAACTGTTTATATATCTATTTTACTGTATTGTTGTAAAACTATGTTATAGTAGCATGACTGTATAAATACATTTATAAGTTCATCCACTTTCAAGATCCGACAATCCATATTGGTTTGCATAACTTTAATTTTATTTCATTCAATTATCATGACCACCTGCTCATTTTGAGCAGTTACGATTAATGTACTATTATTTTTTATTTTTATTTATTATTTGTTCAATTACAATGAAGTAAAATGCCCAGATGAGCGTAGAACATGTCAGTGTAATAAATATACAGTTAAAAACATTTAAAAATTGAAATCAATTAAATGTGAGACATTTTAGCAGTTAAAATCTGAAGGGATGGTATCTTTAAAATATTCATCAGTTGAGTAGTATGCTCTATTTAGAAGAAAGTTTTTAAGTTTATTTTTGAGTGTTGTTTTAGAGAGGCTTCTTAGTGCATTTGGAAGTTTGTTATAGATTTTTATTAGAGTATACTGTATATTTTTCTGAATATAAGTAAAATTAGGAATATTAGTAACCAAATCTGCTTTATTTCTTGTTGGGTAGATGTGTGCTTTATCAAAGTCGTTAAAAAGCTTTGGATTGCTTTTAATAAACATTATGCTGTCAAGAATATACTGACTGTATAGGGTCAGTACTTTCTTTTCTATGAATAAAGGTTTACAGCTATCAGTTTGTTTGGATTTATAAATAATTCTTAGGCAACGTTTTTGAAGTGAAAAAATTTTTTTAACGTTCACAGATGCACCCCAAAAAATTAAGCCGTATTTAAGTCTTGAGTGGACTTGTGCATAATAGACAGACATTGACGCTTGAACATTTATTGTTTTAGTGATGACTCTTAGGGCATAGCAATGCCTTGCAACATTTTCTGACAAAGTATCCAGATGAGATTTCCAATCCAGTCTAAAATCTAGCTCAATTCCCAGGAATTTTGAACTTTTACTAGTTGTTATTGTTGATTTACCATCCGAAAAAGTATAATCATTTTCAGCTGACTGTGAGAATTTGATTGCCTGTGTTTTATTAGGGTTCAGCTTTAGGTGATTTTGTGCAAACCAAGCTTCCAGGGTACTTAAAGCATCGAACACATTTCTTTCCAAGTCATCTCCATTTTGTTCTTCAAGGATAACGGTTGTGTCATCAGCAAATTGTATAGTGTTTAAGTTGTTGTCCATTTGTAGTTCATTGGTATAGAGAATGTACAGCATTCATTACATTTAGAAGCTTTGTCAATAAGAATTATATTCTTAAGATAATGAAGATAATGATGACTTTGTACTTATACTTCGAAAAATAAATGAAATACAGGTTAAAGGCCCAGTTCGGTAAAATATGTAAACAACTAAAAGTGTGTGCAATGAAAAGAAAAAAAAAAGTTATTTACATCCTCATTAGTAGTTTGATTACTGGTAGTGAGGTAGGTATGAAATCCAGCCAAACCCAAAATACTCCAAACACTGAAAAAACAAATGATGGCCACCACTACACTCGGTGGAGACTCTTTCACTGCATCCAAGAAAGGGTGGTCCTCTTTTGTCACTGGAACACCAAAAAAATTATTAGTACACGTGAATTTTTTTTGTAACGACTTCTTACTCAAAATAAGATGAGCTACAGCACAGGCGAATATAAAGACCGCTAAAAATGCCAGCGACACAATAAACATATAAAAAAATCTGTAATTTCTTCGACCAACACAATTTCCCACCTACAAAAAAAATTGTTATCATAATCGAAACACAATGTCCATTTAAAAGTGTACCCATGGGCAGTGATGGTCAAACCTATCAACACAGTTATCACATAAGCTACAGTGTGATGCTCTCGGCGGCCTGAATATTTTGCATGTGAAACAATATTTCAGCTTGATTGTTTGACCTTTCACAAGTACTTCTTTCGTACGAGGAGGGGGCCTATATGTAGGACTATTTGCTGAATTAGTGACTTCTGGAAATGAAAATTTTGTAAATGTACTTACTATGGATTAGACACAAACTCATTCAGTTGAACAATTATGATAAAAACCATCTTTTTCAAAAGAATATATGAAGTTTTTTTGAAAATTTCTTCAGGAGCCATATATTCGACCATTTTACAATCTGAAAGTTATAGTATACAATTCGAATGGCATAAAAACTAAATAGTTACCGAACGTCGGCAGTTTCTATGTATGGCATGGGCGGCGTGGTGTAATTCACGGGATCTAACCATTATTTTTATGTGGGAGGTTCTATATGATATTAACTAGTAAATTTATCAGACCCAGTACATGAGTCTTCTATTTAGATGTTTCGTTTGACTTCGTATAGACTATACACATCTTCTCCCTGTTCTAGTCTATAATGTTATAATAAATAATAATAGAAAGTATTTATTGTGTCATAAAATATAAAATTACACACGAAAGGACAAAGGTCATTTAAAATGATATCAATTAGGCTCAAAACACAGGTTAAAAACATAATAAAAACAAACTGACAGGATTAAAATTTTCGAAAATATACTGATTTCAGCTGTCCATTTAGGATAGCCTCTTTGCGATTTTTCTTCAGAGTAGGAGCAGATGAATTACGATACTCTTAAGGAACATCATTAAGCAGATACGGTACTAAGTAAGATAAAGATGCCTCGAAAAATGAAGAGGGATTATAACTAGAGTAGAAAATCTATCACCTATATTCCTCAGTAATCTGTTGTGAATATCCTCCGTTTGGAATATTTTTGAGGCAAGGTACTTGGATAGTCCAGTAGGCAAGATCTTGTCTCTTTACTTTTTATAATGACAATATAACCATATAGGTTACCGAAGGTTTGGGTTAAGCGAAAAAAAATATAATGTCTAATCATTCATTTATTATTAGTCGTATTTTTTTGTCTCCAATCGGAATCAATGGAATAACCAGAATTACTCGCACCAAAGAAATGCCAAAAATAACACTGGCGATATTAACAATTTTGACACGTATTCCAACAAATAATTTTTGATTTCATGTTAAACCCTACCCTACTAAAAAAAATTCCTTCGAATGAGATGGAATAAAAAGCAGCAGTTGGACAGGAATCAAGGAGCATAAAAACGAAGTAAATAGTAATTCTGGAATGAGGATCATAACAAATAAACACAGTTTGTTTGTAGTCAAACAAAAGAGGAGTTTGTTATCACTTAATTGCAATAGTAAAACGTCAAAACCTTTTTATATTCGAACGTAATTTTTTTGCCAAAAACAACACCGTAATCATGCACCAGCCACCGTATTCACCAGATTTGCCCCCTGCGACTTTTTCCTATTCCCAAGATTGAAGAGACCCATGACTGGACGGCGTTTTGCGACGATTAAGGAGATAAAAACCGAATTGTCGAGAGAGCTCAAGAACATACCAAAAAGAGGATAAATTAGAAATTGGCGAATAAATAAATTTTTTTTGGAAAGAATGAAAATTAACCTTATTTTCTGAAGACACCTCGTATATTGTCAATTCAGTAAATTTTTTTTTTGAGGAAAGTGAGAATTCAACTCATTTTTCTGAAGACACCTCGTATATTGTCAATTCAGATTTTTGTAAAAGGGGGTGATCCCATAAAATTAATGAAAATATAAATTATAACTGAGTTTTGGAAGTAGGCCCTTTAATTTTTGAAGATTCATAGAAATCGAAGTATATTTGCATTCAAATGAGACTTTGATGTATTGTAAAGATACCGTGTTGAATTTATATTTATTTATCTGAATTTGATAACACTTATCTTCGAAACACCATTAGTAATATCTAATCTAAGAAAGTCAATAAAAAATTGAAACATACCAATTTGCTTTTCAACATATGCGGCTTCTTCTGAACTAGCCCTAGGTATAATACCAGGATCGGTCAGACTTGTACGTAATAAGGAAGACATTGTGAATATAAATAGCATTGCACCAATTATTGGAATTGCTATAGTTACATTTTCAGCCAGATATTTACAGCTAAAATTGTTAAGATGAGTAACTGGTAGGGTTGACATCTATTTTATATACTTACTCAAATATAAAAAACAGCATGCTGGTTAAAGTTATCAAAAATACTGTTAACAGAAATACTCCAGAGTTAGGCGCCGTCATTAGTCTACCGTTACAATAAAACCTATTCCTTCCTTGAAAAATTTCCCATTTTCTCGTTGGTCGCTCTCTAGCCATATCTGATTTATTAGTTAACTTACCTGAAATGTACAAATTCATATATTACACAAGCATATCACACACATATAAAAAATCTTTGTCTTTTTATATCTAACTTCACCGAGTTATGTAAGACATAATTTTCCCAGGAAGGTATGGCAAAACCATCAACAACATTTGAAGATATTTCTGGATATAGTGAAAGTAAATAATAACTTTTTTCTATATATATATACATAAACATTTATTTTATAGTAACAAAGTTGGTGTTCAATTTAATGGGCATAAGATATCTAATGAATATTTCCAAAACTGAAAGGGGTATATTTTTACGAGAGATTAATTTTTTCCCACATTTTTTTTGTATTAAGATGGAGAAGTAGAAAGCCAAAACAAAACCTTTTTTTCCCAAAACATTGTCCCCTTGCTCCGAAGTTATGTTTCTGACTTGAAGTATTTTCTCAAATGAACGCAAATTTTTAAATGTTATATAATAATGCTTAGAATAGATTCGTGCACCAGTCTTGAGGCGCAAGTCTTGATAAGTCTCGAACAGGATAATTAATTTTCAGCAGTAATATTCCAGTGTTACTTTTATTCACTGTTAATATTCATAAACAAGTATAGATATTGTATTATACATACTTCCTCATAATATCAAAGTGCACAAATCATAAGTTATTAGTAATAATAAACAAAACAATAATTATTATGACTTGAATCTTGCAACTGATGACTGGCGTGAGAATCCACCCATAGAGCCAACTGACAATGAAGGATTTCCAAGTCAATCAAAAGTGAATTTTTTTTCCTCATCAACCATTAGGTTTGACTCTTTCATTGAAGACAGTGCCGTCATTAAATAACATTTGAAATGAAATATCTATATACTCCATTGCAAACAAACCCGAGTTATCGAAGGCATGCAAAATTAACTGAGAAACTTTTGAAATGCTTTGTTTATTTAAATGATAGTTGTTTAAGGTCAACTTCCAAAGTTTTTATTAGAAGCATAGTTTTTTTTTCTTTTCCCCACATTTGACAAGTCAACTGAAGTTCGATGAGAGAAATCGAATCATACTTTTATTCTGAAATAAACTTACAAACTAAATAAAAGTTTATCACTAATTCAACTCATATTTTATGTATATTCCTCGTATTTGACACACACAGATGTTTTCATTCTAGTACTGAACTGAAAACACATTTCAATAGATCGAACATATAAAAGTATCACTACGTTACAAGGTTCACAAGGAAAAAATTCCCAAAAATAATTGTTACATTCACTATAAATGTATCTCAATTCTCAATTTATTATCTATCCTATACTTTTTTTTGACACTTTTGGCATCTGTCATTAGTCATCCTCATCACTGTCACTGTCAAATTGAAGTTGTCTAAGATCCGAAGAGGGTCTCTCAGCAGTTTGAACTTGGCTCCCTGGGTCAGATGGGGAGAAAATTTTAATTCGACTAATTTTAAATATTTTTTGTTTGAAATGTGTGGAAACTCATCTGGTTGGAGTTGGGATGTTTCTGCAACGTTACATGGTCGACTAATGACCAAGCTCCCAAAAAATCGTGAATTTATTACAGCTTCACGGGGACACGATACAAATCTTCATATGTTGAAGAAGACTATCCTTGTTTTCGTTATGGTTCCTAAAAAGTATTTTCCGTTGTCGAAGTAAATGACTGGAGATCTTCCCATTTCATAAAACGGGGTAATGCTAAAACGGATTGAAATCTATTTCGAGACTAATAGAACTGACTTTCTTGCAAGTGGGCATATATATTAACAACTTTTGTTCAGATCTAAAAAATAATGGTTCATTGAAATCTGGTGGGATGGTAGCCTGGTGGGTTGATAAGGGTGGTTTGATCTATTCAATCGACCACTGTGTGAACAGGTGGTTCAAACCGCAAGGCTGGACGATCGATTTTCACTTCTTATCGTCCAATTCGTGTTAGGAATCACACGTTAAAAGGTAATACCTCTCACTCTGACATCAAGCAATTTTACAAGGTTCGCATTTAATTTTTTATCATTGTATCTCTGACAAATTGAATATTTTCTGACACATTTCAGGAATTTTTTTGTTGATATCGACAGCTTCGATAAACTTCAATCCTTTTTTTAATTGTTTCATCACTTTCGCTATAGGGATAAACGCTGGGTTTAGTGGTTTCCAGCGGTTCAAAAGCCTATTTATTGCTGAAAGTGGTAGACAGAAATCGCTGAATCAAGTTGCTGGTTAGAAATAAGGCCCCTTTTTCTTCGCTTACTATTTACGTCGTATAATTTGACAGTTGACAGCTCTAACTCTAATTTAACGGAGCGTTGTCCGTTTCTTTGTCTTGGACAGCCATGTATAAAGAAAATAGTTGAGTGTGATTACCGACATAACCTATAATTAGGTTAAAGTTATGTCGAAGAGTGTGATGTAAATAAATAAACCTAACCTTACTTTCTGAAGGTAAAAATAACTACTGTTGTTAATTTAATGGAGAATGGAAAAATAAACGATGTTTCAGATGAATCTCAGGAAAATGACAAAAAATTCAAAGCCAAAGGTATTTTGAAAATCACGCAGCCGACTTAGTTGTATTTGTGGATGTTTTTCAGCTGCAGTTTTCTTGGCGGGTGTGTCTGGAATATCAGCAGCTATAGGATTTGGAACAACTATTGCTTCTGCCAAGAAACAAGATCCAAAATATTTTGGAAAGGGAATGGTGCCTACAAGAGAATTACCAGAAAGCGGAGCAAGTCTAGCATTACGAGCTTTAGGATGGGGAACACTTTATGCTTTTGTGGGCTGTGGCATATTATTTTATAGCATTTGGAAAATATCAGGAGCTCAAAATGTGTGTGTTATAGAAATTCTTTAAGTATTTCCTTTGCGAATAATGGCGTTTCTTTTAGATGGAAGAATTCAGGTATAAAGTTGGATCGGTGTTACCAAGAATTCCAAAAAACAATCCTCCTATTGGCAGAACCGAATTCAGTGGCTTGACAGATCTCTTAGATTATTTGCAGCATCAGAAAGGAAATAAGGATTAATTTATTTTCCCCTTGTTTTTTTTTGTTGAATTAAATGTAAATATAAGACTCATGCCTGGTAGTTAACTTTGATACATGAAAATACCTGAAGAAATTACAAGCAAAAGCATTCAGTCCCAAAACCATGGAGGGCATTAGTTGAAAAAAAAATTATTTTGATTGTGGCATGAAGAGCAACTTATTTTGACCATACTTTGAAAAAGATGCACCTAAAACGACAAAGAATCCTAATTTTACCAATACCATTAGAAAGCTGATATCAAAAACTACCTTGTATCCAAGAGTCGGTGCAGTAAATAGACTGACTGGGTTTGATATCCTCTACTATGAGGGACAAGTTTACTGGATATCAACTTTTTCAAGGATTCTAGTTGAAATTTTCTAGACAATTTTTTTGCAGTATTATGTGAAAAATAATGTTGATTTTATTTGTTCATTTTTCATGTCAACATCAGAAAGTAGGAAGCCAGAGAATTTTCCAATAATATTAAGTTTTCTTGTTTTTGAATCTAAATATAAATTATCAGTGTCATTAATAGTTTTAGTTTAACTGGTGGTATCTTAAAAAAAATCCAAAACTTTTAACATTTATTATATTCAATAGTCCAACTTATATAATTATTGAAATAAATCACTTCAGTATATTTCAAAAAATCTAACTTAATTGTAAATCCAAGTCGGGGATTTTAAAACCTTATTTCGAAATTATATTATTTCAAAGAGGGTTAACAGTGAAAATAAAATTCCTTGAAATAATTCTGAACATCATTGTTCAATCGTAGGAGTTTGCTTTATGTTTTGGCAAGAAATGAAAATTTTCTGGTACAGGGCCTAAAAGCATTTCACTAATTTTTATCCAATCCGAAGCAGATGGAGATGCCATAAGAGTTTCCAGTTCATCCCTTCCTTTATAAAACGGTGGCCTTTCATTTATTTTTTGAGGTGGACACTCCAACAAACCAACTGGAACATATCTATATAAGAATGATAACCACTCCAACATAAATCTTCTTGTATTCTCCACTCCTTTGTTGTCTGAACCCCAATGTTCCAGTCCGTAGTTCGTATATTTTTTCAAAATATCAAACCTCTCTGAACTAGATATGTCCCAGAGCTTCTGTTCTTTAATCTCTTTGAATATCCATGGTTTGATTAGGGCTCCTCTCCCTATCATAACTCCAGCTAACTGTGGTACAGTCTCTTTTGCTTTCATATAATCCTGATAAGTCAGAATGTCTCCATTGCCTAATACAGGAATAGGTGCTGCTACTTCTGCTACAGTTTTGATATATTCCCAATTGGCAGATTTTGTGTAGCGCTGTTCTCTTGATCTACCATGAATTGTGATGAGGCTTGCTCCACAGTCCCTCATTTTTGGTGCCTAAAAATGTCCACGTCAAATTTGATATTTTATTCCAACATTCTGAGAGCTAGCAAATACTCCCAAGTTAAATATTGTCGGCCTAACTGTAAAACTATGTAACTGCCATTTATAGTTTTCCTCTCAAGTCATTTCAGTATGAATCAATATAGCAACAATTTATTTTCCCAAAAAGCATATAATGTTTATACTAGAGAACAAAGTTGAGACGACTTTTTAAAATTGGTTTTCCAATGTTAATTTTATCTAGTGTAAAAGGATAAATAAATTGAAAAAAAAGAAATAGAAATCTTGGCAATGGTTTCTTTTCATGCATTCAATACAATACTTACCAAAATATGTGCCACATTCTCATTATTATAAACCCCCATTCTCATTTTTATAGTCAGTGGTATAGGCAAAATATCACTCAAATTTTGTACGCAGGATTCTAATACTTTGGGTCTTCGAAGTAACCCGCATCCTCCGCCTTGTTTGTACACTAACTCTATAGGACAACCTAGATTCAAATCAATGAAATCTATTTCCGTTTCATTTGTCAATAACTGTCCACATTTCGTGAGCAGATGAGGATTGTTTGCACAAAGTTGTACTCCAAATATATCTTCACTCTTATGACGTTTCACCAGTGCCCATTCTTGAGGAGCACCCTGCAACAAAGCTGAACACATTGCCATCTCACCACAAGTGACGTCAACTCCAAATTCTTTACATATACGTCTGAACGGAAGATTACCGACTGTGGTTAGTGGACTCAAAAATAGTTTATCATTCCAGTTTATTTGTAGTTTCTCTCTTTTTCGCAAAGTAATGATATCTTCATCTGTAACTGTACCACTGAGTACCTTAATTTCCTCACAGTTGGTTTCATGTTTCTCAGTTTTGAACTAAAAAAGGTTTATTTAAATGAAAATACTGTAGTTGTCCACTTTAGCTTTTGGGTAAAATTTACATGCAGAAGTTAGTATTGAATAATTGACGAATTACACCATTAATTTATCCATTTTGGATCTAACAATGAAACATTTTTATTTAATATACTTGATATGGAAATCCACATTCTCCGAACATCATTCAAAAATGGCTTTTGAAAACTTTATATATGTTACTTAATAAATGAAAGTCTCACCCCTTTCTTCCTCAGGTCATTGTATTTCACTAGGGCTTCTGATAAATCAAAATTATAAGTTCTTTTTCTAAGGGCTGTCTGAATGTTATATTCCAAATGATTTTTTGTTGGAGGTCCCGAAGATGTGAACTGTGCATATTTTTCTTCATCAACTTCATTTCTTCCTTCCGATGAAATATGTTCACTGCCAAACCTGCAAGCCAAACCTCTACTACATTTACCTGAGATTTGGTAATTGTAACAATGTTCACCTATGTCCTTCGGTTTAAGTTCCAGATATTTACTGGCATCATGTAAGAAATCACAATTCTTTCTTTCACACTTGGGAGTTTCGCCGTCCAAAGTACTTATTAGGGAACTACATAATTCTTGAGATCTCTCAATCCGAAATGTTGGTCCTCGAGATTTATTTTGACCCTTTAGTTTTTTCTTTTCCTTCTTGGAAAGCTTTTGCTTTTTGGGTGCAGGTTCTTCGTCATCATGTTGATCTTTGTGAATGAATAACTTTTCTTTGTCTTTATCAGATACGAGATCAAGATTGAGTTCTTTCTTTTGTTCTGCAATAATGTATCTGAAATAATATACAAATCTACTTGAAGATTATATATACAGGCCATGATTAAGTGTAACATTGTTTTCGAAGTGATAGTTCGTATACGTTACAGGAAAACTTTTAATGATAAGAACTCATACTGGATTACAAACATATCCCACTTACTCGCTTTTTATTTTACATATTCCAATTGAAGTCATTTTTATAATTTAGGAAGTGTCTGAATTAAGGTTAGAACCTAACCTAAATTCATCAAAACAACACATCCATAATCATTCTTCTTATTTTCAATTTCAATGGCTTCAACTTTCATAGTTATTCAGGCAAGTTTTATATAAATCAACTTTGGTATTGGGGAGGATTCCCACAGTTTCGTCGAACGAACGTTTTGTGACTGATCAGGTACTGCGAATGGAAAATTTCAATGGACTGGAAAGATTCATCGAAATATTCCAACTTTTTCCGTTGACGAAAGATGAGAATGTAGATTATGACAAATATGTTGACCGAGGTGGACAGTTTTCTGATAAGTACTGAAATTATTATTGGTGGGTACCTACCAACTGAATGCATTTTTGGCGTGTTTTCCGATGATGTAAAACTTGAAATTTATTTAACTTCATCCGATAAATTTTCTCACTGATCACAGAGTTATAAAATATATTATTTTTTGACACAGGTCTATGGATATGTAGTATAATGTTGTTTATCTTCACTTATTTCATTAAAAACTCATACGATTCTACTCATCTGTGTATGTAAAATATAACCTCCAATCACAAAAAATATTTGAGTGAGAAAGTTTCTTGTGGTTTTTTCAAAACTACAAAAGTGACTTATACTTTTTGACAATTACTCGTTCAAATCTGCTCAAGATTTATAGGTATCTAGGAGACACGACTTGCAAGGTTTAATTTTATGAGAAATTTTTTCATACTTGAAGGGTGGAGGTTGGAAAGTTTTCTGTCGAAAATGATTAATTTGGTCGAGTTCTTTATCTGATTAGCCTGACCTACAAGAATTCTCATACAAAATTTCAAGAATATTGTTTCCTGAGAATAATCTGCTGACCTGCAAAAAAGTTCTTTTCTAAATTAACGATTTCAGAAGTGAACGAATCTCGTCGCCGATATATTTAACAAAAGTTTGTTTTCGCATGAGCATTGTACGTGACTAAACCACATAAACAAAGAATATATTTCAGTGATTTTTGCTGCATATCAGTAGTTTTACTATTACTTGCCTTTCTGACAAACAATTTGTATCGATCCAATTTCAACCCTTTATTTGACTAAGTTGTAAACGTTATATAACTTCTGAATTGAAGATCTGTTGGACAGAAAATCATGAATAGCAACTCGCAATGCAACAAATTGTACCATAACAGATTTTTCCAATGATTGCATTCAAATTCTTGTTGAAAATTCAAAATTTACTGCTAAATTTCACTATCGATAAAATTACTATCTGAACGTTTCTAGAGTTCTTTTTTTTTAAATCAAATGAGGATTAATTTGTTGTTTTACCTATTACTGCATTTTTCTGGTAACACTACCATTATATTTTCTAGAGAGTGCTGAACAAAAGGAAATCAGAATTTGTAAATATAGAAAAACAAATCATCAAAAAGATTCCTTCGGATTATTGGGTATTTAAAAAGACACTTTGCAAATATTTATTTATTAAAACAGAAATACAAATTTATAAATGATAAATTTTACAAAATCAATCCAACAACATTGAAAATACAGCAAGCTGGTATAAGTATAGTGAATAAATATAAAGCATAAATAAACATGGTTTTTATTTGTTTACATATATACATTCTAGCAATAAGAATAATTTCCTAATCTAGTATCAAGAGATCTACGTAATATCCACATAATTTACATTGAATTTATTGGAGGCAATAAATTCACATTTTCCAGTTCTAAAGCTGTATGCAAACGTTCACAATCACAATTTTCAAAAATTATTTATTGTTTTGCACACTCAATTCCTACCTGCAGAATCAAAAAGCGATGCAATCAAAAAAGTGATTCCTCAGTAACAAAATATAAAATAGCTGAGAGCAGACTGAGTTTGCGATATTATTTGTTCACTCATCATTTGATTGCATACTCTTCTCATCGATGTCATTTTATTCATACAACAGTGTATAGGATCGTTTATACCTAATGTGCCAAACAGTAAAAATATCACAATACTAAAAGAGCTGACAGATAAATAAAATATAAAAATATATCACCTATACCACAAACAAGCTTTTCGTTACAAGTCCTTATCTGGCATTTCCTCTCTTGAATATTAAAAAAAGCTATAAATCTTTTCAAACTAAAGCAGTGAAAAATCAATGATGTAAAATGTCCAATCTACTTTAGAGAAGTTGTTGTTTCAAGGCCCAGATAGAATTATTTGGTCATATTTGATATCATTAACTTTTTTAACATATCATCAACATAAAAAGAGTTATTTCGCAAAGAAAGGATATCAGATCCATTGTTGAAAAAATTTTTTTCCACTACCATGTTGTATCGAGCTTCATTCATTCAACTTCTTCATGAAAATAAAATTATCTATGATAAAATACCATTTAGACAGTGTTTCCTATGAGATGTATATTTCTATCAAAAATAAAAATTGAACGTTTAAATACGCGATTTATCTGTTTCCTTGAAACAATCGTTATCACTATTTCAAATAAAAATGATCACACTTACAGAAAAATACTGGAATTGGACTTTTGCTGCTGGAGAATTTGCCACGCTGAACTTTTTATAACATTTAAAGAACAACTATTGTCCTTTTGGTCATCAGGAAAAGTTTTGGGTTACATAAGATTCACAGTTTACATAAAAATAGCTTGAGAAAGTGGACAAAATGAAAAAGTGCAAAGCATTTGAGACATTTTCAATAACATTTACAAATAATATCAATATTAGCAACCTCGTTTCAATAATCTCCAATTTTCCTTGTTCAAAGAGGAATTATTTAAAATTATTTAATCTAACAAAAATGCTACCAACACATTGCAAATTGATAAACTGTCTTAGAAAGCAGACTAGAAATATATTGGCACTCCAAGTCACTTCAATATGACTCAGTCTTGCAATTTACATTGGACTTCAATTATAAAATATTCCAGGAATATACCTCTCTACATGTACTCACTAATAATGAAATTAATGTAACTGTTTGACAGATGTAAAGTAACATATTAACAGATACAGCTTGTCGAATCCAGGCAGAGACTTGAGAAGTATTTCTCTCTCTCTCACTGTCTTCTAACAAACGCAGGTCTAGTGGGCGAGGCCATAACGGAATTCAGAAAGCTCTTCTTACATTTGACAAACTATACAAATGAATACAGTAATGTCCTGATAAAATAATTATAATATTTTTGAATCAACCAGTTTAGGGAAGTGACTCGCACAATCACTAGAACTCCCCCTTCAGTCACGTGTGTACATGGTCAATTATAATTTATTACTTGAGAAATTAAATTCGAGATCAACAAAATAATAAATAAATAGGTCAAAATAAGAAACCTTACCAAACTTGATCCTTCAAAGTCCAACTCGCAAATAATTGAGCAAAAGTAACAACAATACAGAAAAATAGGGATCACATTATTCACCTCTTGATTCATTCATATAGTGGTTGTAGGTTTTTTTGCAGCAGAAAATGTGCACCCAAAAAAGTTGCCAGGGGTGACAATTACAATATTACAATTCATATGAGTCTTTGATATTGATTCTCTGTCGATCCAAGATATGGCGCGGTTGTAGGTTTTCTTGCATCAGCAAATGTGCACACAAAAAAGTTGCCTAGGGTGACAATTACGATATTACAATTCATATGAGTGTTTGATATTGATTCTCTGTCGATCCAAGAGATGGCGCAGTTGTAGGTTTTATTGCAGCAGCAAATGTTCACCCAAAAAAGTTGCCTGGGGTGACAATTACGATATTAACGTATTCCAAAAACACTTTATTGTGAGATTTTCACTAAATTGTTTTACAAAAACGCAACACGTGTTTCGCCATACAATGGCTTCATCTGGCGTGTCTTTCCCGCCAGATGAAGCCATTGTATGGCGAAACACGTGTTGCGTTTTTGGAATACGTTAGTTATGGATTTTCATCAAGTATCGGCCGATTCCATCATATAATTACGATATTACAATTCATATGAGTGTTTGATATTGATTCTCTGTCGATCCAACAGATGGCGTCTTTGAAAGGCGAGAAGGCATCGTCCTTATCTACTTCTGCTTGTCCTTCAGGGTCTGTTGCATTTGTGGTTCAGCCTAACACCTCTGATGCGACCTTTGTTGGGTCGAAACAGCGCTGTCTGGTGTTGAATACTTAAAAGCTTTGTGTTTGGGCTCTAGTTTATAACTAGTCAGGAATAAGTATCGACAAATATTTAGATCTTTATGAACGACAAAATTAAATGAATAAATAAGTCAATGACGAATAGGACATTTACTTTGAGAAAAGAAGATTAGTAATGAAGCAGCAACTTGAGGTCAACAAATCTTGTTTCCACAAAAAGTAACTTGCATCTAATGAAACATTGAGATTCGTAAGACTAACTTGAATAAAATCAAATTTACACAAGTCTGTAACAAAAAAGCTTCCTGGATGTTTTCAATTGATTTCTATTTATTTAGGTGTTCTGAAAACTAAAAAAAAGCTCGCAAGAATTCATTTTGTAGGCTTATGTAGAACAATGCAAGCACATTTGATTCCACATTGATGGTTTCTGAGATGAGGTCTTTCATTTTTGTGGGTTTCCTTCCTCCATATAATAACCCATTTATTATTTTCAGCATCCAACTAACCAAGAATGTTAATATTCGTTCACCAAAAAATGCATGGAGCATTTACTTGAGGCTCAATTAACTCAACTCATGAAACAAAATATATGTTTTATATTGGAGTAACAGTTTAAAAACTGTCCTTACAAACCTATAAAAAAATTATTTATCTGATGTGTAGATTTGAAACTTGAAGAAGTATAGGAATAATTTAAATTGGTCTTTCTAAAATCTTCGCAAAATATGAGGAAAGGATCAACTTTGGTTTCGTACGAACATTATTGTCTGTTTACACCTTTTACAAAAATAGCTGGGGTTTCTAAGCACCAATAACTTAACACCTAAAACACTACCATCATACAGTTACATTCGCAATTTTTGCTACATTCACAAATGTGAACATATCAAACGTATTTCATTCAATTTCTAAACTTCTGAGAGCCTTCACTGAATTTCAATAAATTCAATAATGGACAGAGTAGCTCCGCTACGTTCTCGTTGATAATTGAAATGGATATATAACATTTACTATGCTAACACAACAACCCATTTAAGGTTTTACTGAACATTGTTCATACATTTTGTTTATAAAAGTATCATTTAGCAATTTGAAATACAATGGACAAATGTAAAAATACAAATTACACTGTATCATCACACATTTAACAACGGTCAGTGAACATCCTACCCATTTTAATAATAGCAAAAAGGCCTCTCCAAAATTCAACAACGATAAGTGATGAAACATCAATTAATAGAGGCTGTGGTAGCGAATTGTGCGTGGTTTGTAATTCAAAAAGCGATTAAACCATAACAAAAGCCTCCTTACCACAAAATAGGAATGGGTATTGATCAATCATTGTCTGAACAATGTCTTCTAAGTAAGGACGCATCTGTTCAAATCTTCCCATATCACTGAATTCGATAGGTAGCAGCGTAGGCCACCAACATATTGCTAAATTTTTACTGTCCATACTGTTCAACTTGGAATTCTCAGTGACTTTCACAAAGTGCTGGAATATGAATTTCAAAACTTGGAAATTTATAGGAGGCAGCTTGTCCAACATACTTCTGAGCGCCAATAAACGACAGCTACGATCGTTCTTAACTTCTATGTTCCCGCTGGTCGTGACCATGGGCTTCATTCTGGTGCCGGCTATTTCCTCCATTTCAGTCATCACATCAGGATCGAATAGCGGCGGCAACCTTTTGGAAACGAAATCTTTCAAAGCTGTGGCAACAGCATTAACAGGAATGTCCAGTTCGTGAATGTCAACGTTGGAATCTTCTTCAAATTTATTGAAGAGTAAATCGACATGTGCCCTATTGCCAGGAACCCTATAGATCCCTTCGGAGTCCAACCCTTCGCTTTCGATGAACTTCACACATTTCTCCATGAAACTAGGGACATAGTTTTTATCGGATTGAATGTAATCTGCCAATTTCGAAGAAGCGCCGCTTGTCGGTGCCGTTTTCTGTTTGGACTTCAACTGCTTCTTCTTGTCTCTTTCTTCAGCAAGCTTCCTGAGTTTTTCTTCTTTCAATCTACGCTTCTCTAGCTTTGAATCGTCCTTCGCTTTTTGCTTCTCACGTTTCCTCAAGAGTTTCTCCATATCAGATTCCTTCATCTTCGGCAAAACACCAAACATTGGGGAGTTATTGTCTCGCGGAGAAGAAACGTCCAAGCTAGACTCTTCGTCGTGAATCAACCCTTGCGTATGGTATAAATCCAAGGAGTTCAGCTGAATATTGAAATGAGAATTCGGCACATCCGGTATTCTCCTTTTCAAACTTAGAGAGCGCTTTTGCTGGGAAAATCTCAAGCGAATGTCGGCGGCACTCTGGGGTAGGAACGGTTCAGCTTCACTGACTTCGGACGAGTCAGAGTTTGATTCAGTCACTATGTTAGCCTTATCAACATCGGGATCTAAGACGGGGGTGTGTGCAGAGGGTAGGGTAAACGAGCCGAGTTGCGGGACGCGAGGAGGCTGCACTGGAATGGCCGTTCTTTTCTTTCTCTGCCTCTTGTGAGTTCCGCTCTTTCTACTGACTTTCGAATAGATCTCGCTGGCTCGCTGCCTTCTTTCCAGACTGCTCCACTCGCTATCAGTGTCCGAGTACGAAGGTTGGCCCTTTTCTCGCCTCTGTCTTATTTTAGTCTTCCCACTGATCGCGTCTTGTACCATGGTGTACATATACTCGGGGCTATGCCCCTGATACATATTGTGAACAAGATCCTTCACTTGCGCATACTCACAACCTAAATCGACGGCTTCGGGAGTAGCAAGCGGAGCGTTCCCGAAATTCGAAGAAGTCATATCGACGCCGCTAACATTCATTCTAGCGATGGCTTCGGTGACAGCTGAATAGTTTTTCATATTCAGTTTTCCAGGCTGCTTCAAAGTTTGCGAAACGCCCTTTGACCTAGATTTCGAGACGGGAGCATGCCGACGACCCGTGGTGAAGGCGTGCTGGTGATAATTATTCCACGCGCTGCCAGGAATTGACATTGGGTGATCTCCGTAAGTCATATCGTCCAAACTAGTTTGAGAAGTCGAAAGAAGTTGCTTTTTGCCGTGTCTAGGATTTAGAATGTTATCTGGAGGTGCTGGTTCGGGCGGGGTTGCCGGTGGAGGGTACACATGGAACCCTGAATGCACATTGCGCTTCTTATCGCTACCCTCACTTCCGTACATGTAAATACTGGAAAACTTGTCGCTGTGATCGCTCGAACTGAGTCTTTCTTCTGGACCGCTCAGCTCGAAGTTTTCGCTTTCACTTCCGTCATTCAATTTAAGATAATAGCTCTCGTGTCGTGGTGGCGGCATTGGATGGCTGTGTCTTTGACTCTTCGACCTTTCTAGAGTACCTTCGCCACTGTCCAAGCCCGAAGGCTCTTCCATGTTGAAGGCTTGCTCAATTTCCGGTTTCTTTTCCCAAACCTCCTTGAAGAATGGAGTGAAGAAAGCTGTTTTGTGTTGCATAGACGATACCGACGTCATGAAATGTGCGTGCAATCGATCCGCAGTTGAATTACCTTCAGTTATCAACATTTGACTCAGATCATCATTGAAGAATGCTGTGGCTCCGCCATCATCCGTTACAGCCAGGATCTGTATTGGAAGGTTAGGAATGTTCATCGAAAACGCATTCAAAGTTGCTAGAGACGCCTTTCTCTTGGTCGAATAAACCAAAATGAAGCCGTGGACAAGCTCATCTCGGAACGCATTTGCGCCGTGAAACGATGAAATAATCACCTCAACTTTCCTTTTAGAGTCGCCCAGAAAAGTTTCAAGAATGATACTGTGAGCAGACGACAGGAAACAGAACTGGTGCGAAAGGAGGGGTCCCAAAACACTCTCAACAGAGTAAGGATCCCCACAAAACATGCACATGATTATCCGAATATCAGGCTCGATACATTCTATTACAGACTGATTTATATTTAGAAAACCGGCACGGTGATGTATGCTTTGTACCAGTTGATGAAGGGCGTCAGAAACTAGTTGTTGATCAGCCACTTGATCTAGGCAAATGTCCATAAAAGGGCACTGCAAACTGTCAGCCAAGTTTTGCCCATCTTCTCTCAATCTCAAAATTTCTTTTTCGTCGATGGAAGAGTCCTGTAGAAACATCAAAACAATAGGCAAACCTTGGAACGGTAATTTGTCTTCTTGTTCCAAGTTAGATAATAGTTTTTTCTCCAAACTTTCTCTTATATATTCGAAGGATTCGGCGTTGGAGTATACGCAAAAACTACCGTGTGGAATAAAATCAGACGTTCTGAACGAATTATGAGGTAAACTAACATCTCCGCTGATGATCCTGTAGTCCAAATTATAAAATTGGCAGTCGATTTCATATTCATCGTCGTCGCACTGCGTTCTTATCTTGGCAGCAAAATTCTCAGCCAAGTTATTGAAACCCAGGATTAGCAAGTTCAGTTGATTGTTGTCCGAACTTATCAGCCATTGATTACTATGATTCCACGAAGTGGGTCGGTGTGCTTTGGTGGCCAAAATGCGTTCAATCAACGCATCTTGGCAGTTAGGAAATGCCGGACAGTGTTCTCTGATCGGGTAATGTATGAAACCCAAATGCTGGAAGAGTGTAAGCTTCCGATCCTGGTCAAGCCTATCTAGAATCTTGTATCTGAAATCATCCTGAAGAACATCCGTGATCTCTTTGATGTCGTCTTGGGTAATTGTCCCCGTAGGTGCTATACTCTTGAAATGATAGAATAGGTCGGCATGCTCCAGAAGGAGTTCTTGGAAATTATGTTTGGCATTTTCAATCAGTTCCCTCTGATGCGCATCATATATCTGTTGGCAGTCATGTTCGGAGAGGGCCTCGAAGCACTCCCTTCCCATGAATAAAACTCTGACTTCTGATAAATGTTTACCAGGAGTCACGTAACCTGTATCTTCAAGTAACTGTTTGAACTGCTTCTTATACTCCAATCTCTTCTGTTCTTGCTGCAGTAAATTGATATGGTTTTTAAAAACTGTTTCTGCTTCGCTAGTATCCAATACATCAAAAGGTATGCGAGTTTCTTCGTTATCTTCCCCTAAACACTCCGACCACGGCAAATCTTCGGGCCTTTCAAAGAAATACTGCGAGAAGTTAGGATGGGTTTTGAGATACTGCTGGATCGACGGCCAATCCATATCAGTGAAGGTGTTGAAGCCCGGAATAAATTCATGCAGTACATCTGGCAGCATCTCCATGTAATGTGCTATCTGTTTGGCCATCTGTTCGTCTTTGAGTTTTTTAATGTGTCTCCGGAACAACCTCTGCGTTCCGTCTAACCCGAACAGTTGCACAAAGTGGCTCCATTCTTTATGAGAGTTCAGTTTTTTTACCGTCTGAGACCATAATGCGTGGTAATCAGTCACATGGACTCTGATTAACCTCATGAAAGCCTCACTTGCAGCATCCATGATTTCCTTTCGTGTCATGGCTGCTTCCATGTAGGAAGGGATTTTCGACCTCACTTTAGTTTTGTCAATCATCTGGGCGAGTAACATGAAACAGATGTCGATATTGACGCTATCATGAGCAGAAGACTCTACCAGCGGAATGCTATTTTTATACTCATTCCTTGATATCAGTTTGTGAGCTTCACGGACGTAAATGTCATTGGCATCGTCGTTTTTGGTCGTAACAAACACAATCGGTTTTTTAGATTTGATGAGATTGTTCAGTATGGCTGCTACAAATTCTACTTGTTTTTCTATACTCCTACTTGGCACAATACTAACATCAAAAACGCATATGAAGCCTTCAATACTCAACTTTCCGTCAGGCAAAACTCTCTGTTCGTACTCTTTTTCGATACCTAATTGGTTCTTACATATGTACATCAATTTTTCAGCCGACGTTATCTTGGTTGAAGCACAGCGTTTCACATACGGCTCCATTTTTCCTCCTTTGAAAGGTTGAAAAGAGGCATCGTCGATGAACTCAGTTTGCTCAATAACGCTAAACTGATAATCGACTCCTTCCTCGGAAGTCTTGATAATTTCCCCCCAATATAAAAAATGATCATTATTGACTACACGACCGCTGAAGTCAGTCTGACTCAACACCGAAATGTGATCAACATTATAATCTTCGGCGTGGGGTCTCATAAAGCGGTTACAGAAGCAAGATTTACCTACACCAGCATGTCCTTTGTCTTTCTCTACTCCTGACAAACCAACAACAGAAACATTGATGCTTCTTATTGTGTCTCCTTTACGCGCCATTTTGTGATGTTGAAAGTAAACGGCTGTAACAAAGAAAATTTATTCACTTATTCAGTCAAATGTATTGCCACTTTTCATAGAAAATCACAAGAAAGAAAGAAACCTTTTTGACTAACAAACAGCATATTCTTGTTGAGGAAATTGTATTCAATTCAGTTTATGGTCTCAAGAAACAGTAAATGCTAACTACAAAGTATAATAAAATAACAGAAATAAAACATTTTACAATAAACAACTGACATATTTTGAAAAAATAATAATAATGAAATGCAGTGAAATATGAAATTGTTTTCACAAAGTACGAGTTGAAAACGAATTCAAGTATAATAGGAAAAATGCAAACTATGAAACCCGATACTGCTCCACTACAACGTCTGCACGTTTCGAAAATTAACGAATTGAGGTTCTGCCTCACCCACCATACTCCCCAGACCTCGCGCCAACTGACTAACATCTTTTCAAGCACTTCGATAACTTTCTCACCAATTTTTGCCAAACTGGACTAGACAAAAACGGCGGTAAATATTCGTTTTGAGAGCACCCAGCGATTTTGAAAAAATTTTTGAGTGTACTTACGTATTTCGATGCGTAGATTTCGAATCCGAAATAAAAAAGCAGCGCTCTCCATTATTTACAAAGTTACGGCCATTCAAAGTTCAGAAAAGGGCAACTTTTCAGCCTTTTTCTTTCACAAGATAAACTATTTAAAAACAAGCATTTATTCACTAGGTCACCTTCACACCTTATTCCTTCTCAATTGACACTTTTCGATTCAACAATCAACATTTTTCTTATAAAAAACTCAATTCAAAAACGAATGCTCCTTCTGGCGACATTCTTCTGTTTCTAGGTTAGTTACTAGTGACATTTCAGAAAAAAGCAGTTGGTATTTGCCGCCGCCTACTATTCCAAATTCGTAGATTATCTTAATACACCACCAAAAACCAATTTACGGTCTAAAGAATGAAGGCAAAAAACATTTGAATTACTTTAGGATTATTGACAGCATCAGTCGTACCAACTATGTCATTAACCTTAAAAACGTAAAATACAGAGATATATAACCAAAAAGCAGCCCCGTACATTTTTTAACATTTTTATTGGAAAAATGTTGATTGTTGAAGTGAAAAGTATCAAGGAAGGAGAAAAAAGGTGTAAAGGCGACCTATTGAACAAATGCTTGTGTGTATGAATAGTTTTTCTTGTAAAAAGGAAGGCTGAAAAGTCGCCCTTTTCTGAACCTTGAAGGGCCGTGACTTTGTAAATAAGGGAGAGCGCCGCTTTTTCATTTCGGATTCGTAATCTACACATCAAAATACGTAAGTGCACTCAAAATTTTTTTCAAAATCGCCGGGTGCCCTCAAAAAAAATTACCAAAACGGCCTTCGTCGACTTCATCAAATCCCGAGAACGCGATTTTTATGCTCACGGAATTAATCAAAGCGCCTGACTTTCGCTTTTCTCAGGCCGAGTGGGCTGTAGTCGAAAACTGAGGGGTTCATCATAGCCTGCCAGAATGGTGTCTGCAACACCTTGTTCTACCGCAGTCGTGTGATGGGTAGAGGTTTCTTACACAAGGTGCAGGGTCTGCCGCAAGGCGTCCCAGACCCTAATGCACTTGCTATCGGCATGTCCAGCATATGCGGTCTCGGCCTATATCCATCGACATAACGCGGCCCTAAGCGTGCTTTATTTCCACCTACGGCATTCTTACGGTATTGACGAGACACCGGTGTCGCTCTACGCTCCGGGGGATATTGCATCAGTTGTGGGGAACGAGAAGTACCGAATTTTTTTGAACTAATGGTTCTCCACCCTCAGACTCATACAAGCTAATAAGCTTGATGTAGTCCTTCTCGACCACCAGAGCAGGACGATATCTGTCGTGAAGATTCCAGCTCATGGCGAGACAAATAACGTTCGAAAAAAAGGGGAAAAACGGATAAAATATCGAGATTTTCTCTTCAAACTTCGCAGACTCCATCCAGACCACTCCATCAAGATGGTTGTGCTGATTATTGGAGTCCTTGGTGGAATTATGCCATCTCTACTCTCGAATCTCAAAATCATACCGACTTGCCGCACTAAGGCAGGAATCTTAGTCGGACAGATGCAAAAGGCTGTCATTCTTGGCTCACTGCGCTTGCTCAGGGCACATGATTCTGGGAGCCAATGATCACTTATCCCACGGTGTGGGGAGTGGTCATGGGTTGATAATGCTGGCGTGAACTCCTGAATGTATCGGGGCTACGGGGGATAGAGCCTGTCCAGCGTGAACTTAGGTTGAAAAAAATGATGAAAATAAAACTTTCATTTCCTTATGAAACGATTAAATAAAGTCGTATAGGATATATCACAAACAGATAGAAAAAGATACATGTTGTATGATTTCAATATTCAGTTGTTCTACTTCCTATTGTATATTTGTTAAACATTACTCTAAGTAGGTTGTGACATATGACACTTGGAGATGCCATAATAATTTTATAAAAAAGTCGTTAGTAATAAAGACTATCATATAAAATTGGCGCTGTCCACCTGTGTGCGTTGTTGTTATGGTGTTTTCTATGAATAAACAGATGGCACCGCAATGGACAGTCCGTCAAGTCCTGTGGTGGCAAAATTTTTCATGAAAAAATTCGAACAATGTATCTTAGAGCGAGCGGCCATGAAACGACATTCCAGACTGATTTACGCTGATGATAAGTTCATGGTATGGCAGTATAGTTAAAAGCAACTAAACGAATTTGCTTTCTTATCAAATCATTTAATTCAAACAATAGGAACGAAGCCACGCCCAAAACCAATGGAATGAATTGTGAGACTCATACCAATTCTATGCTCGGAGAATAACCAGAACATTTCGTCCGTAATCTCATGATTGATGTCTACCGCAGTCATAGCCAAAAAGTCAGACATAAAAACCTACAGACCAACAGGCCTCCTAATCGAGCATTATGAATGGTTGAATCTGTCAGAGTTGTGTGAAGCAATGTTCTAAATGTGGCAAGTATCATGAGAATTGTGTCGTTTTGTCAGCTGATGACTCAGATAATCGTTAGTGCCCTTATGGCTGATAAACAAAGAAATGGTTGTTATTTTCAAGACTCTGAACATGACTAATGCATATCTGTTATCATTGATCCTGATTCCCAAATGTACCTTGAATATATTTGGGTTTTTTGTATATGTTGAAGCCTCAGGCTATATTACTTAGAGTAAGACCTACTGACAATGTTTTGAAAAGTGTTTCATTCTGTTTTTAATTGAGACAAAAGGTGACATTTTTTGTAGTAGTTAGTCTATTACTTCAATTACCATTTGAATTTGTTGTTTCGGATAGTTGTTATCATTCAATTCTCCCTAGGCAACGCTGCAATACTAGCACCTACTTAACTATTCAAATACAATAATCAATTCTGATAACAAGACATAAAGTGGAAATCACTCAAAACATCCATAATTAAATAATAGCGAATAGAAAACGAATTTCGGATCATCAGTAGAGAGATCAGGATTAAAATTGTCAAAAGATATTTTGAAATCAAACAGTGAATATTGAATGGAACAAGATTAGATACAGTGTACAGTAAATACATGTGGTTTACTTATTCTGATAAAAACTGAAATATTAGCTGAAGTACTGCAGTTGAAAAGTTTAGTCTTTGACAAAAGGTTGATAGTGAATCAGTGGATCTTGTCATCACATTCATTTCATAAATTTCAATTCCGGAAGTGCATTTTCAACCATTATCACTGCATTTCGTTCAGTATAAATTGTTTTTTGTCCTGGAAAGAACTCCTATCTCGTTGCCCTTTTTATTTGCCTAAAAAAAGTTCCAAGTATAAAAACATAGGACCCAGAAAACAATAGGCCAGGAGTAGTAGTCAAAAGTGATACACTTTCGACACCAAGGAACCATGCAATGCTTCAAGTGTGATACAAAGTGCAATGAAGAGGATTCTTGTCAATGTGATGGATGTCACACAAGAATGCACTTCATATGTGCTGAGCTTACCTCTTCTGAAATCAGATGTATGCAGCTAAAAAATAAAAGAGTATTGAAATATTTTTGCAAGGACTGTGAGGAAGGGCTTAGACTATTGCCAATTATGAAAAAACAAATTGTAACTCTCGAACAAAAGGTGAATGAGCTTGTTGACAAACTCACTACACTTGAGCACGCCAAAGCATCTCCGGTTCAACAAACTGATTTCGATTCAGTGGTCTATGAACTGGAAGAACGCAGAAGAAGATCCAGCAACATAATGATGTACAACATCCCTGAGTCCAATGCAGCTACAACTAAAGCCAAAATCGATGATGATAATTCTAAAGTCAACGATATATTACATGGCTTAGATCCACAGTTACATATCAAAAAAATATTTCGTGTTGGCAAGAACACTAACACCTCTCGGCCAATAAAAGTTGTTCTAGACAGTAGTGACGATGCTTTATTCATTCTTCGGAATAAAATTAAATTAACCTCTCCAGAAATTAAAATCGGTTCTGATTTAACTCTTCATCAGAGAAACTACCTTAGAAATCTTCGACAACAGCTCAACGATAGGAAGGAAAAAGGAGAAAACAATCTGACCATCCGATACTTACAGGGAATGCCGAAAATTGTTTCCATAATCATAAGTATTTATGTACACCTTTATAAAAACATATTTGTATATTGAGTGCTGCCCGTTAGTTGAATAAATAAATAAATAAATAAATAGAATGATTGCCAATGAACCGCGCCCTAAGAGACATAAGCTAAAAGAATCGGCATACATTTTTATATTTGAAGAGAACTGTATTTTATAGAGCTCTTCAGAAATGAATCATACTTAGCAACATGTCTTGATAAAATATGTGGATAGTGGCGAAATTGCAACTAACTAACCAACAGCAACAGAGGACATCTTGTATTCCATCGAATGTTCTAGAAAACAATCAACACGTCGACATATTTCACATTTCAAAACTCCTTTGACATCTGTCAAGAATATGTGCAAATGAAGTGAACTGAAGAATAAACTGCAATATGTTAAGATCTGTACAATTTGTTAGCCCTTTTTCATAGTCAAAATTATCAAAATAGACAAGTTACTGGACATTGACACAAAAAATGTTTTTCACAAGCAAATTAAATTTCACAGACAATAGTTTTGCGTTCCTTCAAAAACATGCAGAGGCCCACCTAAAGATCTCACAGTAAGTATTTGATACCCAATAACCAACATTTGCTCCATATAGCTAAAATGGTATTCAATCCTGACAAGGTGAAATAAGCCTCAGTGATATGACAGCAACCTGATAAGCTTTGGATATTTTCAACAACTGTGTATAAAAATGTAGCTACCAAAATGGAGATCACTTGGCAAACTAGATAATTATTCAATTTTTAAATGATATAACTATTACATAAAACAACCAGTTTTGGGAATTAGTTTTGAGATAACACTTGTTTTTTAGAGCTTTTGTTGATTACAGGTTTCAGAAAACATCATTTAAGACTAATTAATAAGGCAGGCCTGAAATGAAATGTAGTAGTTGCTACCTCACAATCCTTTTCATCTTCCTGACATGTAGGACATAAAAAATGGAACTGTATTTTAAATGACTTATGGGTGTAATGAATTGTTTAGTTTTTTTTCCAAACACATTCATTTTCCACATTTGTGTAATCATATACTTAATACGCCAAAGTAAATGCGACATATTTCTGCATCTCATTGTGACAAATATAATTTAAAAGTTCAATTTGACATTCATCAAATTAGTAAATAAAGGATGATTATGATATAGAGCCAATTAACATTTTATTTCAATACACCCGCACATAAATATGTACTTGTACTTACTTTGATGGCGATTACAAGTAATGGAAAACCAAAAATATTTTCATATCGACCGTGGGAAATCAGACAATTAGATTATCCACACTCTCAGACCATTGGAATATCGTTTACAGTAAAATTCCTATGAACCATTATCTTCCATGACAAGTTTTAAATTTTTTCAACACTGCACATAACTGAATTACTGGTAATCAAATATGATAACTATAAGAGCAATTTTAGTTTCAATACAATTCTAACAGAGGTGACCAATTACAACATCCTCCAATTCAATTGTAAGCTATAAAATTTTCGACCACCCACCGCCTTAAAGAAGCCATTACCCATTATATTAACATGACACATGACAAGTGACAAAACGATGACACTACAATGGACAAATGTCAGAAGTTATTTTGGTCTGTTCGTTTGTTAACTTGTATCCAGCGAACAAAACTAGTACGTTGCTTGAAACTATGATAAATTGCAACTCGGAAGAAAGCTGTGGCGATATTAATAAACACATAGTTTGCTTTTGATACCTTTTGGGGCTTGATTGATCTTGATCTGAAATTCTCAAGAGTGAACAAAATATCATTGTCGACAAAAAACACCATTGATAAGAATATTGAGAATTCTTGAGAATTTCAAATTACTGAATCATCTATTTGAGGGAACTATTAGCACAAGATGGCGGTACCAAGCTATAGGAATATGAAAGAAATTATTTGAGTGGCATTTCGGGTTAAAATTTTAACGAAATATTACGTTTGTCGTTCAGCTGTTGATATCGCAAACTGTGTTATGAAGGTATTTTAACACTTATTAATAGATGATGCTGAAATATCGCAAATGTGGGCAAATCATGTGAATGGGTAGAATATCATCTACAATTTCCAAAATGTAAGTTTAACCGAAACATTCTAGATGTAATATCATGATAAAGTGTTATTGAATCCATAATGTGGCGAAAATAACATTCTAGACGTGTATATTCATTGGAAGTTGGATGGCAACATTTACATTTTTATTCTGAGTGGCAACCGTTTTGATAACTGTCATAATTTGAGATTTGGGGTTATCTTTTTGTTACTTGTCAAAAGTCTTGTAGGTGTTTGTTTATTGAAAATGGTCAAGTTGTACTGTATTAGTATTTTATACAAGGGCCCTACTTCAGCTACATGGTTAAAATCTGCATTCGAATTGCAAACATTTAATTTTTTCCAAAGAGGGTCAGTCCAAGAGTTTATGACTTTTTTTTGTAAAACCATCGTGGAAAGAACCATACCTGCTTCTAGACAGTCAGTAAAGGAAGGAGGTAATAATTCGAGGTTTTCTGTTTTTCATTATCAATATTCCTAATAATTTTTTTAGAATATCTGTGTAATGTGTATGTCCGTTCAGATAATTTGGCTGGGGTCGTAATATCGGACCATGAGTATCCATCCAGGGTATCACACACTTTAATAACAAAGCTTTTAGACGAGTTTGCAGAAAGAATATCACCTGCAAATTGGCCTAACCTTCAAGAGAAAGATGTGGCATTTCCACAAGTTACTACTTATTTAGCAAAATACCAAAACCCTCGAGAGGCTGATGCATTAACTAAAATACAAGAAGACTTAGATGAAACTTGTTATGTTCAAAAGACTAGCCATTCATATATACGTCGAGGAGGGTGTCATAATTGGATTAGTTTCATAGTGAGGGTCTAACTAGACCCTCAAGATTCAGTGCTCATCTCGGTAGAGAAAGAAATTTTATGGTTCTAAATAAAATATCCATAAATTCGAATGGAATATTTATTGAAGATCATAAGTGATCAACATAGTTATTACCAAATTCATAGATCCCAATGTCTCACATAAAGGAATATTGAGATTTGACAAAAAGAGGTAACACGTATTGTGACGAGTGAAGATTCTATTGTATATCAAAACACATGTCCCAATTTTGTAAGCTTTCAAGTGGAAATCCCACATTAAAGTCTAATTTGTTTTGATTTTTCAGCATAATACAATTCAGGCGGTGTTGGAAAGAGGGGAGAAGTTGGATGATTTGGTATCTAAATCAGAAGGATTGAGCATGCAGTCGAAGGCTTTTTATAAAACGGCAAAGAAAACAAATAGTTGTTGTACATTTAGTTAAGTAATGTTATTTATTGTCATTCCAAATATGCCTGTTATGATGTGTTGATGGACGTATAAATATTTTATATGTTTTTTGTAAATGTGTTGAAGCAATGTATCGTGGCCAGAATATACATATATTATGTCAAAAAATGAATAAATGTTGAACAATATATAGAATATGAAACTCGTGAAATGAAAAAGATATTTTTAAGTGATTCCCTTTTACTTTAGATTATAAGTGAGAGATACTATTTGTGAAATAGTATACCTCTTTTATCGGATATCTCCAGTTGAATTATTCCATCGCTACTACAGAATTCTTCTACTCTTGGGAAAACTCAAAGCACATGGTTGAAGTTTGACGTAAAACAAACACGGTCAATATCAAATAATTATGATGGAAGAATAATCTAATTATGATTTTTGGATAATATGCTGAGCAATTTTGATGATTCTTCAAACCGAAGTTTTGAGGATCGTATCCAAGGGTCGGCTCTGGCTGCTTGGATACGGCTCTGGCTGCTGTCCAAAGTGATGTCACATTGCCAACATACCAAAGGGTATCATATTCTCCATTGGACAAAAAGAGTTTGAAGAATTTTCGCCTTTGCCGTATAAGAAGGCAACGAGAGAGAGTGACAAGTCAAAAACTAATATGATTTTAAACAGTAATTAAAGTAATCACATAAAGTTTTTGAATCTGATTCAAATGATGTACGGAGAGCCTACATACATATATATATATAACTTTGGTGCAGTAGCAATCTTAACCATTGTGAAGCAGATATTAAAGATGCCCTTTCATATCACTAGAAGTATGTAAATTGAAGATATGTATCTATGATCAGTGATGAGATGATATTCAAAAATACTCTCCAGAAATTCCTGTGTAAAATATTTGTTGACGGAAATAATCTGTTATTGTAAAGTTTGAAAGATGATGATAGATCGAAAGTGGAAGGTAAGCAGTTTCCATGATTAAATCGTGTGATATTTGTATAGGAAAGAAAATTAGGTTGTTTAAATAGTTTTTTTCCGTTTTTATGAGTTTATTTTAAACTGTAATATCTCAGTAATATTTATTCAGTTCAATCGAAATACGCGTCATTTGAAGCAGTGCGCTTTTGCCAACGTAACACAAGTTGATAAATCTCGTCAGCATAAAAATTGGCTGCTCAGAATTCAATAAAGTCTTCGAAAGCTTTGAAACTTTTGCAATTTTTCATTTTCAACAGAGAATCCAACCAAAATTAAATTATAAAGGGTTGTTTCTATTCTAAAAAATCCCAAAGGCAAGGGTATAAAACTAAAAAGCCTGAAAAACGATGTCTACCTAGAACTTTGGTGTTCCTTTAAAAATAAACATGTTTGTAGCTACTTCCCGTGTAACCACTATTAATGTATTTTATGTTGGTCGTTCCCTTGATATAAGTCTATAGGAGGTCCCTAACCTCCTGTAGACAGCTATTTGTTTAAGTATTGTAAAATGTTTTGATAGGCTTATAAAGAAATACCACTGACTACTTGGTTTTTCAGAATGTAACAAGTAATTAGGTACTTATTTGTTCACAAACAGTTCATGCTAAAAAAACTACAATTTACGGTTACCCATGTAGGCAATAATATATTATTAATTCCAGTTTCGCTATTGAGAAACCATGAAATACGCTGCCTATTCAAAAAGTAATCGTCGCAAAACGTCGTCCTTTCATGGGTCTCTTCAATCTTGGAAACAGGTAAAAGTAGCAGGGGGCAAATCTGGTGAATACGATGGCTGAAGCATGATTACGGTGTTGTTTTTGGCAGGTGCATTATCGTGATGCAAAAGTCACGAATTGTTTTTTCACAATACCAGACGTTTTATTCGTATTGCAAGCGGCGCATAATTTCAACATAATACTCCTTATTGAACGTACGATGTGGCAAGAACTCCTGATGCATTATGCCACGGTAATCGAAGAAAACAGTGCGACAGCGATATATAACTAGTTCAAAGTATCCCAAATGGTATAGTTCCTTTCTGATTCAACTTATTGAAAAAAAAGAACTCCTTATTCAAGATATTCAAAAAAACTAAATTGGACTGTGATTACAAAGAATACTCCAAGATGCGCAAGGAAACCAAGTATCAGATATAGATAAATGTTACCTGCTATATCTATCTAATACAGAAAATATGATCCCTACTAACATACAATATTTTTGGTCATTTTTCAACTCATTGAGGAAAGATAACTACTGTCATGACATATAATGGGTTGAACTTTGACACCACTAAAACTATTGCCGATGCTTTTGCGGTACATTTCAAATCTTGCTTTCATATTCATTTACCTGTTCAAAATTATGTACCGGACCATACCAATTATGATATTAACACGTTATCTTTCCACACTTCAGAGAAGTGATAATTGAAAATAAATTGAAAAACCTACATGTCTCAAAGGGCGCGGGTCATGACGGAATTCCGCCAGTATTGTTAAGGAATTGCTGTCACAGTTTATCATATCCCCTTAAAATACTTTTTCAAAGATCATTTGATACCGGAATTTTTCCAGGTGTTTGGAAAAAATCTTTCCTTTCTCCAGTATTCAAAAGTGGAAACAGAAATGATATTCAGAATTACAGGGGTATTTAAAAAATTTCTAGTATTCCCAAAGTATTTGAATCTTTAATGCGGATGAAATATTTAATAATTTCAAACACGTCATAATAGACGAACAACATGGACTCTACCAAGGAAGGTCTACTGCCACCAATTTGGCTGTCTACCAAAACTTCATTACAAATAAGCTCCAAGTTGATGTTATCTACACGGACCTTGCTAAAGCCTTCGATTCAGTTTGTCATGAACTATTAATTTTAAAACTCAACAATCTTGGAATAACGGGCAGATACTTGAAATTTATTGAATCCTACCTTTCCGGTAGATTGCAGAATGTGAGGATAGCTGACGGTGTGTCAGAAACAATTCATGTGACTTCAGGGGTTCCGCAAGGTTCGCACATTGGGCCTATATTATTTCCACTCTTTATTAATGATGTTAAATCATTGTTTAAACACTGTGATATCTCTCTGTATGCAGACGACCTTGAGTTTTTCAAAGCAGTGCAATCTACCAATGACATTGAATGTATTCAGAATGATCTGGATAGCTTTTGTACCTACTGTGATACTAATTGTTTAAAAATTAACGTTTAGAAATGTAATGTGTTGAGGTTTTATAGAATAAGACAGCCTCTCATTGGAAACTAATCCATTAATGATATACCTCTTCAAACTGTCAAAAGCTTATGCGATTTGGGAATTACTTTCGATAAAGATCTAAGCTTTATTGATCATGTCAATAATATCTGTAATAAAGCATTCAGAATGCTCGGATTCATCAAAAGGAATACCCGCCATATTACAGAATATGATGATATAAAGACATTATACTTTTCACTGGTTCGGAGTATTTTGGAATATAATAGTGTTATTTGGTGTCCTCTTATTTATGCTTATCATAAAGAGAGGCTTGAAAAAGTGCAAAATCGTTTCTCTAAATATATAATTTGGAAACTTGGCCTACCCTATTTTGGATTTACCTCGCAAATGAGGCTGTCTGTATTAGATTTATTATCACTTGAGGACAGACGTAAACTTGCAATGGTTCTATTCCTTCATAAAATAATAAACTTCCACTCCAATTGTTCAGCTATTTTAGATGACCTTTGCCTTTCTGTTAACTCAAGATCCTTAAGAAGCAATCGCATTTTTTCATTTGGGTTGCGATTCCACAAGACTAACTATGGCTCGATGGCAATAAGTTATAGGCTTCAGAAAAATGTCAATACATATTTGTCAGATCTTGATCTTTTTCATTTGTCACATTCAAAATTCAAAAAAATGACGACTTCAGACGACTTCATTCAGCGATTGTTCATTAAACTTCTGAATAGTCGTTTGTTATTTCTTTTAATGTTCATAACTTATTCTAGTGTTTGTACGTGTCTTTTTTTACTTTGAACTTCCTTGGCCATTTGAATTTTATTACAATTATCTATGTAATGTACTACATGACAAATGAAAATGCATACCTTTATTCATTATGAAGTAATAACTTGACTCTAGGGTTTGTTTCCACATTGATGTAACATTTAGGACTTTGTTACAATTCTGAAATGTACTTGACATAGTTACGTGTTGTTTTATAATTCAATCGATCATTAGTGTTGCATTTCTTTATGCTTATATTTTTGTCTTTTTAATATTTTTTCTTCTTTGTGTTGTTTTATAATTCAATTGATCATTAGTGTTGCATTTCTTTATGCTTATATTTTTGTCTTTTTAATATTTTTTCTTCTTTATGTTCCATTTGGTATTTTATTAATAGTTTGTGGTGCACTGGACTAATAAAAATAAATAGGTTTATTTATTTTTTGGCAATTACCTACAATAGTTTATCTTAAGGATCTTACTTGTTGGGTTCATAACTGAACTCTAATGCTTGACTGGTTTCTACTATTGAAACTTTCTTGATGTACCATTTGGGATTTTATAACAATTCTGTAGTGTACTTGACCGATAAATGAATAAATAAAACCTTTGAAACTAATTCGCTGCCACACGCTTCATGCCGAAAATTTCCGAAAAAATTGCGTGACACGAGCCAACCGATATGCTGATATCCTCAGCAACTTCTCTAACAGTAATTCGACGATTCTCCATAACAATTTTCTTCGCTTTCTTAACATTTTCATCGGTTATTGATGTGTTGGGGCATCCAGGGCGAGCGTCGTCATTCACATCTTAGCAACCTTCTGTGAAAACATTTTTATGACTCGGAGTACAATCACCGTATACCACTGTCAACGCTTCGAGTGTTTTTAAGCACTCAATTCCATTTTTTACACAATATTTGATGCAAATTCTTTGATCCATTTTTTCGATAGCAGAACGCAACACTCTTCTAAATTTTATGCCGCTCACCAACAAACTAAACATGCTAAACAGCTGAAACCGTGAACATATGTTCGAGACGAGTTTACCACCATAAAAATAGAAAAATAGCTAATCGAATGTACGTAGCCCCCGAAATTGGAACATTAACCTTATTTTTTTAACATTCCACGTATAACAACAAGAAATGTTGAGTTGGAATACCCTACTTATCTTTTTCGCGCGGAAATTACAATTCGCCCAGTCGTCACTAGAAATACCCGAACAGATTTTCGCTTCCACTGAAGCGTGGTCCGCTGATTCACAGTAGTATATTATTAACACGTTTGAAAACCAGTTTCTGCAGAAGAGACAGTCAACGCGCACATCAAAATAACATTATCAACACTGTTTGAATGTTATTCAGCGGCGGTTTCGGTATCAGTAACACACAAACTTCGTTTCAGTGAACATTATTGCCGTTCACAAATTGTATTTTTCAAAATGAACGTTTCATATGCTCCTCTGAATCCTCAAATCGCTAACGTAGGAAAATTAAACGGCACTGACAAAGCGAATGATTATTCATCAATGGTTTTACTAAGTGAAAGTGCGCCGATAGCGGAGTCCGAACTGGACGATGACTTGGACGACAGGCAGGTTTCATCTCAACCTTTCCCAGGAGTTGACGACGGTTTCTTTGATAATAAAGATGAAAACCCCAAGACAGACGTGGAAACGATAGATCCAACGCATCCGGACACCCCGGGAGTTAACGGGACGAACGATCCCAAGGAAACGGACGATGATTGGCCTAGTTTTATTCCTTCCTTAACGCCAAGAATGGGCCCCGATGACGGAGACGATCCAGATACAAGCAAGGACCACCCCGATGGATATATACCTCACCCCCCTAGCGATAGACCCCACTTTTTAACTCCTGGAGTTGGTTTCGATCCCGAAATTGGAAGTACCTTTGGTGGTGCTGATATACCGGACGTTAATATTTATCAACACAAGAAAACTTTAGCACAGGGTATGATGGATTTAGCGTTATTCTCTGCCAATGCCAACCAGCTGAGATATGTTTTGGAGAGTTTTTCCAGACATCCTTACTACTACCCCAGCGTCATCTTGATTTCATTGAGTTTGATATTGCAAGTAAGTTTCATATTTTTAACTGATAATATAAGGTTGTTTCAAGAGTTCTGTCCATTTTTGCGACTGGTTGAAATCAGTGATATCTGAAAAATTAGAAAGGAAAGGCATCTATAAACGACCGACACTCTCAATATTGAAGAGGTAGAAAAAAGTGGAAAAAGGGAACTTCATATCCCATAATTTTTTTTATAATCCCCCTGGCATCAAACAGGAGTTTATTTTGCCACAGAATTTTCAAATCAATCGTGTTACTACGTTTTCATATTGCTATTTTAGATTTAATTATGAATGTTAGAATTATGTTCTATATTTTTTCATCGAGTGTAGCTAAGAGGACTGTTATATTGGTTGGAAACGAAACATTCGAGGAAAGCAAATTATTTAAGATATTGGTCCGGTACAGTTCGAAGTTGGGACATGTGAATATGATATGATATATCCCATAATGGATAAATATAAACTAAAGCCACTATAGCTCCCAGAACCACCGTTCATGTACGATACTGTAAATTATATGAAATGTTTTTGAATACCATTTTTATGAGAAATCATTGACAAGAAGCTCTAGAGCCAAAAGGGTGTCAATCTCCCTTGTACGTCCAAAAATAAGTCAACCTGTCTTAATTTACCTTCAACGAAAACCTCATTCAATAATCTATTTCTATTGACAATAATGAAAAATGTTCACCAAGTTTAGAAACTTTGAAAACTTATTCTGTCTAGGCCTAGTACATAATTTATGGTACACTCATTTCATTTTTTTACTTTTTCTGAAAGTTTTTTCGTTTGGGTAGTTTCTAAACTGTACTTTCTGCAGAGTTCATTCATATCAAACCAGTATTCATAGTTTTGTGGTTGTTAGTTGTTATTGCTGGTGTTATTACTCGTTTGTTACCTATCGAAAACAAACAGAAGAAATTCCGATAAACTTTTACTGAAAACAAAGATAATAATGGATTCAATGGAGAATTAATCATTTCATTCCAGGTTATAATCGACATTACAATATCTTTCAAATGCACGTAAACAAAACAATAGTTCAAATGGTAAAATTGCTCATTATTTATTCACTAATAATTTTTAGGCAACTTCGGTATCAATAACTGGTGTCATTAGCCTGATGGTTTTCTGAGTAAGGTATGTTAATAATTCACCGAGCCCCTAGAGAGCTTCATTGAATTCATTAATTCATATTGAAAAGCACAGGTGCATTTGACGATTTCTCAGATTCGCCTAGAGATATATTAAAATATTTATTTTTCGTATGTAGTACCGGACTATTTCCTTGGTCATTATTTTTCTTGTCGAAACCAAGTAAAGATATTTTTGTAGATATGAGCATTTGGAGATTGAACGTTTCATTATTTCGAATGAAATTAACTCGAATTGCAATTGATATAATATAACGATGGACTTGAGATCTCATTTGCACTCAGTACCTAATGCTCATATACAGAGATATGAAAATATTTCATATGTGTTGTACAGTTTTCTATCTGACAGATCGAGCAAAAGATTAACTATTCAATTTGCATTGTTTTTTAATTTTCATTTTGTTAAAAAGTGCACCGACTGCTGATTTGTGTTTTATAGAAGACTTGATACTAACTCTTTTTGTAAGATCATAAGGAACGTTTGTTTCAAATGCTCATGTTTAAATTGATCTTATCGCAAATATTTCAAGGTTATTTAATTGTTTTATAAATAATATATTCAGTGCACATTATGCGAGACGTAACAGCCGTAATTAACTATAAATTCACTCATTTCAATTGAATGCGTAAATGTATTCAAATTATTCCTAAAAACACTTCTAGTGTACCTACTTGTTTGAACAAAATGGTCAACCGAATGGAATAACATGATAAAGTATTGTTGAATTCTTGAATTGGTTTGAAAACGACGTCCTGCTCTATACACAGTCTACAAACAACACAATGCTTCATACTGCTTCGGGCATATTAAAAAAAACAAGTGAATATTGGCAATGAAATTGTTCGTTTTATAAACAGTATGAAATACTACAGTTACAAAATATATACAGAATAAAATCCACAAGTGAATAGAAATAAAACCAGTATTGTATAAGAGATATTAAAATTAATGCATAACCTGAAATAATGACATTTGTACAAATGTTTATCGATTAAAGTGAGAATTCTTGTTGTAAAATGCACCGTATCACAAGTCAATCAAAACAATGGCAAAACTACATGAATTGAACTTCGAATTGGTCCCACACATCCACCGTATTCGCCAGATTTGGCTCCCAGCGACTACTGGCTGTTCGCATATCTTAAAAAAAATGTTCAACGGTAAGAAATTTCGCTCGAATGAAGATATTATTGCTGAAACTGAGGCCTATTTTGAGGCAAAAGATAAATCGTTCTACAAAAGTGGTATTGAAATGTTAGAGCGGCGCTGGAATGGTTGTGTGGCTCTTGATGGATATTACGTTGATGAATAAAGTCAATTTTGAAAAAAAACGCTTTTTTTCTTAAGCCCGGGACTTTATTATTATTACTGAACTATTGTCCATCGTTGTTGTCATCTGATAACAACGAAGAGTACTGCGAAATCGCTTTGAGCAATCAAAAAGACGTGACAGGCAAAGTGACAGGCAAAGTTAAGTAAAACAATTCATACAGACGACTCGCAGAATATGTAAGTAAACATCTCAAAATAACATTTTGCTTGTTGTCAGAAGATAAAAGCGACTGATATCTCTAATAATAAACTCAACTAGGTCGGTGCACCGACTGGACTCTTATAAATATACAGTGTGTTTTTCGATTTCGAAACTGATGAAATGTCATACTTATTGGAAAAAAAAAAAACAAAAATAAAACATATTGCCTTGCTGACGACAGCACACTTGTCTCGTCATTCCATTTGGATTCCAGAACTGCTGCGGATGCACATCTTCACCGGAAGTAGGGGGTTCCACATCTTAATGAGGATCTAGAGGTAATTTCGAATTGGGGTGAAAGAACCAGGTTCAATTCAATGCCACAAAAGTTCAGGCAACGACTTTCTTCAAGAAGATAAATGTCTCCGAACCGAATATAATAATGTCAGGTCAGACAATTCTCTTTTCTGCTTCGATAAGTTTGTTGGGAGGTTAATTGCAAAGGTTGCTTCTCAAAAGCTTAGAACACTGTCCCGAAACAGGAAACTGTACACACCTCAGCCACTTTTGATGCTTTATGAAGCTCAACTCAGACCCTCTTTGGAGTATTGCTCTAAGGTACGGCGCTCCGTCCCTACGTATACCATGAAGTTGCTGAATTCCATCCAGAAAAGAGCCATCCGCCTGATTGGAGACCCGAACATCACTTGCAACCTTGATAGTCTGAAACATCGAAGAAAGGTAGGAGTTAACTCTCTCTTCTATGCATACTTTCACGGAAGCTGTTCAAGTGACTTGTCACATTTGATTCCTCCAAGAAAGGTACATATCAGAAATACGCAACGGACATTAGTTGCACATCGGACTTCACTGTTAAGAGATCTTTGATTTGGAGAACTGCGTTTATGTGGAATCAACTTGCTGAGAAGGTTTTAACTAATGAATTTAATCTCCAGCGATTCAAATCTAACGTGAATCGATACTTTCGCACGGGCACCGCTCTTACAGTGCTTCAAGGATTTTCCTGAGCGTCTCACCGACCATACTGCCCAGATCTCTTCCCAACCGACTACCATCTTACGGTTTTTCTGATAGTTCACTTGCAATGATTAAGTCATATCTAACGAATCGAAAACAGAAGATAGTATCAGATGAAAGAAACTCTAACTATGTTGAAATTAAAGCGGGAGTACCACAAGGAAGTATTCTCGGTCCACTATTTTTCATTATCTATACCACTGATATTCTAAAATCCATAACCGCTTGCAATGTTCAGGCATATGCCGATGATACGCAGTTATTAATTAGTTTTCCTAAAGAAAACCTGAATGATATACAGAATTTGCTGAATGATGATCTTGAACTTATATTTAAAAAAAGTGCCTCTCATAACTTGAAATTAAATTCGTCCAAGTCAAAAATATTAGTTTTCTGAAGTACCATTAATGGCCGTTGAATCGGCGAAAAGCTTGGGTTTAATAATAGTCAACGATCTCCGTTTCAAATCTCATGTAAATTGCATTTTTAAAAAAAACTTTCACTTCACTGGAAACTCTTTACAGCAACCGGTTTATTCTCAAGACTCTGTGTGAAATCCTTGTTCTCGAACATTTTACGTATTGTGATTTTTTGTATGGTCCCTGTCTTGATAATGAATTTAAATATAAGATTCAAAAGGTTCAGAATTTTTGCGTACGATTCATTTACGGATTACGTCGGTATGACCACTTATCTCAAAAATTAAGAGAGTTAGAATGGCTCAAAATGGAAAATCGTAGCCGACTTCATCTATCCATGTATGTTTATAAAATGATGAGAAATGAAAATGACAGCAATCGAAGGAGATTACTTCCTAGATCTCATACACATTCTATTAATGTACTCACGAAGCTACATCATTCGACAGCTACTTTCCAGAGGAGCTTTACCTACACTGCTATCAAACATTTCAATTCTATGCCTATTCAGTACAGGGACTCAAATTTGAGAGCATTTAAACAGTTTATAAAAGAATATTTACTATCTGCACAGTGAATAATGTAGGTAAATGTTGGTCGAACAAACTTGGTAATGTCTGATTTTTTAGTTAGTATATTTTTAATTTTGTAATTTATAGGGCCATATGGTATTATCAACTCTAGATGAGCATCAGGGGGTTAGATGTAAAAGTAGCCGAAGGCTAAATCTCGCCTCGTGATGTTCAAGCAAGAAAGAGATTTTCCTGTATCATTTCTTCGAATTATGTAATAATTTGTAATCTCTACATAATAAAGACGATATTATTATTATTATTATTGTCTTTTCGAGCCCTTCGATGACTTTCTCACCGGTAAAACCTTCGTCAATCAGGGCCAGGCCTTCGTCGGTTACA